CTATTTATTTAAGTCTCATGTGAGATTTTAAGAATCTTCGTAGAGACTTAAATTAATTACATTATCGTGTCGGATAATAAATCCTCACAGATATCGTGATTCACAATTTATATGGTAAATAAATAAACAAATTTTGTAAATAAAATAAAACATTTTTTATTTTAATTAAATTAATGAATTTAAACTATAATTATATTTACCAATCATATCTTTTGGTCATGTGAGATTTTTGAAACTCCGTAGATCTTTAAGATAATCGTACTATCGCGTGAGTCAATAAGGTTTCGCAGGTATAACGATTAAGATTTCTATATTAAAAAATATGTATTATATAATTACACATTAAAATATATTCAAAGTGAATATTATTTAATTCTTTTATCGTGTGAGACTTTGAATCTCTACAGATATTTAGGATAATTTCGTGTCGTGTAAATCAATAAGATTTCGCAGATATGAGAGCAAAACTTATATATTAAAATTAATTTTCCTTTTGTAATCTAAATTAATAATTTATTTAAGTTTCATGTGAGATTTTAAAAATATTTGTAGAGGTTTAAATTAATCACATCATCATGGGGATAATAAGTCCTCACAGATGTAGTGATTCTCAATCTCTATAGTAAATAAGTGATTTTTGTAAATAATCATATAATATACAATTTAAGAAACTTAATTAACCAAATTAATGTATTTAAATTGTAACCATATTTACCGATTATATCTTTTAGTCATGTGAAATTTTTGAATCTCCGTAGGCTTCTAAGATCATCGTATTATCGTATGAGTCAATAAGACTCTGCAGATATAACGATTTAGTTTTTAAAATATATATATACATATATATTATATAATTAATTAAATTTAATTCCTTTATCGTGTGAGATTTTGGAATCTCCACAGATATTAGGGATAATCATATTATCGTACAAGCTAATAAGGCTTTGCAGGTATGATGATTAAGTTTTTTTGAAACATATATATACACACTTAAAAATATACATAATAATATAAATAAATAAATTAAATGGCCAAACTCTTTTATCGTGTGAGATTTCAGAATCTCCACAGATATTTAAAGCAATTGTATTGCCGTATGAATCAATAAGGTTTTGCAGGTACTGCAATTAAATCCTCAATCATAAAATATAAAATAATAATAATAATTTTAAACCCTTTTCTTTTCTTTAATTTGAAATCTAAAAATTGAGAAAATAATTAAAATCAAATTACTTCTTGCAATTTAAAACACACATATCAAAATTTCAAAAATTGTTTTATCTGCAAAATGGTGAGTTATTTCTAATTGATTTCTCTTCAAAAATATTTTCACCAATAAACTTTTAAGCTCGAACTATGTGGACTTTGATCTCCATCACAGGGTACGTAGGCCTCAGAGTCAGATTCTGAGTCAAGTCCGTCCTCCCTCGTAAATAAATAAATATTTCTCACTTAATTCTTATCATTTTTTGAAACACATGAATATAAAAGGGATAATTAAAATAATTATAAAACCATATTAAAAGAGCACAACAAACTTTAGGTAACCGTTCTAACGAACGGGTGTTGTGGGGTGCCTAACACCTTCCCCACACTCAACTAACTTTCGAATCTATTCTCTGATTATGCAGATCATCCTTATCCTCCTTTTAATCGGTTTCTCGAGATTTTCCTTAAAATCTTGGTGGCAACTCCTCATTCATGCGGTTCCCGCCGTGAAGGCCGGGACCTCCGCTCATGCGCCGTCCGTGTCGCATTTTTCGGGTGCGATACTTAGGATCCCTTTATGTTGAATCGTTTGTGAAAATATATGTTAAGAATTTATTTAGGTTAATCTCTTATAGGATAATCCTTTTGGGTTAGTCCTTGATTTACTATAATTAATATGATGATTAAGTCCTAATTTAGGACACCTTTTATAGATCCCATTATGTAAGTTTCCTTTAAGTCATTTATTGAAGTTATCCATAATCGAGGTTGATTCTTAATTGTATTGATTGATTCAATTAGTTGGTTGAGTTTAACTTTAGTTAATAACAAAAGTCATTACATTACACGCAAGTTCATCGTAACAAAGTTAAATGTCATGAGGAGTATTGACAACTTTTGGCAGAGCAAATTGACAATTTAAAATAGTTGTCATTCTCTTTGCTAATGTTAACTTATCAATAGATGATCTTATGATAGTTAATTGTACTATGTGCTATTTTAATGTAGTTCTTATAAGGAAAATGTTGCAGACAATATAATAATGAAAATAATAATAAGATAAAACATTGATAAAAAATAGGATAAAACAAAAGAAAATCAAGACTTGGAAGTAAGATTTAGATATTGAGATTTTTGCTTTCGTGACCTTGATTAGAGAGATCAAAAACGAGTCCTTTGGTCAGTAGAATAGAATTATAATTAACTTCATACAAAGTAGAGATATGTGTTACATATCTCTACATTTATACAATGAAATAGATAGTGACATGAAAAAAATTTAAGTGGTGTATAAAAAATAATATTATCGAGCTTTAAGGGTAATGAATACATGTTATACAAATAAGCAGGACGAAATATAAAATCTGTAGGGTCTTGGTCTGAGCTGTAAGCGGATGTGCCCTAATCCCCGCACGGTAACGTGTGGAGAAATCTCGAGAGGTCAAAAAATAGATTCACAATGCTGATCTTGAAAGATTAGTGAATAATCACAAAAAATGATAGACACTTAAAAAGTGAGGTGACAAAATCTAAAGCTCCGAGCAGCCTTGTGACAACCTAAAGACTTCCCATGGTGTATCCAACTATTGTGAGGTTACTAATTCTTTCATTTTCTTTCTGATGAAAACGGAATCAATCCATTAACAACTAAAATGGTTTAAAAGATACGTACTAATGGAGAATTATTTCCCAAAGTGTAAATAGCTGAGGCCCTGAGGATATTATCCCAATGACATGGAATGTAGGCTTGACAGCTGATTTTTTTTAGCCTACCTTAGTCACTAATATTGGATGACAGCCTCGGAATGGAAAGCCAGACGATTTGTAAGGGGCAAGGCCGTGGTCCACCACTCTCACTTTCATTTTCCATGTAATTGGACTATGGTTTGAATTACATGTTTGTTCTACATATTAATAACCAGACATATGTGTTTAGTAAAATTTAAAAAAAATATATAAAAAGAATAATGTTAGAGTTTGATATTTTCTTGATATATTGTTAAAAAAAATATTTAAATAGATCGGATGTACCATATTATTTATAATCTATTTAATTAGAATGTGCTAAGTCATCCTATTTTAATCCTAGTTGGCAATTACCTAATTTCCCTTATTTCATTTTAAAAATATAATAGTTGAAGTAAATAATTTATTTTAATCAAATTTACTAAACCCTTTCCCACCATCAAAGAATAAATTGTCAACGGATCCTTGAAGCATGGTCGTGCTTTAGTATTCTTTCAAGCATGGCCGTGCTTTAGGAGTGCAGTCAGGAAAGTTAAAAGGTCAGAACCATGAGTTGCGTGTTTCAGATGGAGATTTAATTACCTGATGATACTTTTCATGGTTTACCGCTGTCTCATGCCAATAGTCCCTTAAAATTTTCAAGGCTTAAATGAACGCAATCTCAAACTCAATGTATTTCAACAAGAATTTCAGAATACATAATTTTCTATGATATATAGAGCAGAAAAGATTTATTATTTTTATGCTCAGGGCATTGACATGAACGCAATCTTAGACTTAATTGAGTTCATCGAGATTCAGTCCTTATCGTGTCCGATCTGGAACTTTCAGACCCCGTTGAAATCTCTCTCTCTCTCTCTCTCTCTCTCTCTCGGGCAAAATAGATTGCAGAAGACCGTTTACTCTTACCATCTTGCACACAGTGTCGTGCGGGCATATTCAATATTCATTTTGCATTCCCTCTCTCACTCTCTCTGTTTTTTTTATTGGATACATGGGATCGGAAAATAAGCATTCTATTATTTGATTTATTCCTAACTAATCAGACAACATGCAGTGAACAAGACAACCGACAGTATGCAGCGAATCCTCATCACCTCTGGAGCAGCCGAGTAATGAAAAAGACAAACGGGTGGCAGCCTCTCAGACCTAGACCCGGCCCATTAAGTAGACTCTTCCTAATCCTTCCTCCTTTTCAATTCAACTACTTCAGCATTCACGTCATACTTTCCGAGTTTCTTCCAATGAATGCAGGTCCTTTGCCATCCACGGGTTCAACACTATTCCACTGCATGGCTCCACGGAATCAGTTTCGGCGCTCAGCACCAAAACACTGCCGTTTGGCAGTGTTTTTTTCTTTTTTGCTTTTTTAAACTATAAATTTATTATAATAATAAATAAATATTATAAAATTATTATTTTAATATTTAATAAACAAATAAATATTAAGATGTTAAAATTAAATATGAACAGATTAACTCATTAAAATATGATTTAAATAGTCCATATATAAATTTTAATCTGAACAGTTCAGAACTGCATTGAAAATATTAAAATTATAAATAAAAATATTTTTTTATTTTATTAATTTTGCACAGTTGTTTATCTATGAGAGATAATATCATTCAAAACATAGTCAGATATTAAATATAAGTACTTCTCTTAATAAAAATTTAAACATTGATTTATTACAGTGTAAGAAATTAGCTCATTTTGCTAGATTCAACTCTTATTTTAAATTATTCAGATCATTTTTTATTTTTTCAATACAGTTCTCAATGTTCAGACCAAAATTTTCATTCAAGCTATTTAGGTTCAATTTTGATATCTTAATATTTATTAGTTTATTAAATATTAAAGTAATAATTTTATAATAATTATTTATTATTATAATAAATTTGTGGTTTAAAAAAAGGAAAAGAAAAAAAACACTGCCAAACGGCAGTGTTTTGGTGCTGAGCACCACGGTGCTCATCCTCATCCGAAACTGAGTCTGTGGCTCCACTTCCTCTTCCCAACTTACCCGGCTAATCCCGTCAACTATCTCTCTCTCAAAACTGATCACTGACACAAAACAGGCATAGCCAGACCAACTCAGTTCCGTTTAGCATTAACCAACGAGCACCATCCACTTTCGGGATATCCCCATCAATCTCTCACAACCTCACTCTTAATCAACACCCCAAAAAATAATGCTGCCCTCACAATGCCGTCCCTCACCTTTAATCATTTTGTTCCCTCCTACAATTTCTACTACTCTCAAATAATATATCCACTCAATCCTCATGGCCTGCTCTGCTTTTTTTACCATCTTCCTTCTCGTCTCCGTCTCCTCCTCCGCCGCCGCTTCCTCCTCTATCCAACGCGCCTGCTATGCCACCCGCTTCCCTCCAGACTGCCTCTATTCACTCATCACCCGACCCTTTAATGACCTCCCTCCCGATCCCTCGCCCCTTCAAATCATCCAATCCGCGATCGCCTTCTCCGCCGACAACGTCAAGACCGCCCAATCCAAGATCAAGTCCATCCTCGACTCCTCGTCCGACAATGGCGACTATCTCAATCGCACCATGGCCGCCAAGAGCTGCTTCGCCATCCTACTTAACTCCGAGTATCGCATTTCCCTCATCAAGAACGCCCTCCAGAGCGGCAGGACCAAGGACGCGCGTGCCTGGATGAGTGCTGCATTGGCCTACCAGTTTGACTGCTGGTCTGGGTTGAAGTACGTATACGGCAATGACGCCGCCTCCATCGACGACACTCTGTTCTTCCTGGACTCCCTCACGAGGTATTCTAGCAACGCGCTGAGCATGATGGTGTCGTACGACGTGTTTGGGAGCGACACGGCGTTGTGGAAGGAGCCGAGGACAGAGCGCGACGGCTTCTGGGAGGCACCGTCGGGAAAAGAGAGGGGGTTTGGGTACAGTGGCGGGTTTCCGTTGAATTTGAAGGTGGACGTTACGGTTTGTGAGAAAAAAGAGAAGGGGTGTTACAAGACGGTGCAGGAAGCCGTCAACGCGGCTCCGGATAACAGTGAAGCGAGATTTGTGATTCACATAAGAAAAGGGGTTTATGAGGAAACTGTTAGGATTCCGATTGAGAAGAAGAATGTCATATTTTTGGGTGACGGCATGAGGAAGACTATTATCACTGGATCTGCACATGTAGGTCAGCCTGGAATGACCACCTACAATTCCGCTACCGTTGGTGAGTTTCTGTTACGTCTTTATTTTCGTTTTCTGAAAAATTAGAATTATCGTTTTCCGTCCTTTGATGCAAACTATGTGGTAGGAAATCTGGTGCAAATTAGTAAGCAACTTAGCATGCACATCAGGTCGACTGTTTTCTTGTGTTGGAGCTTAGCTGCTTCGTTTTTTTAGGGTGCTCTTGTAGATCTGCTAATTGTTTTGATGGGTCTTTCAGTCTTTGATCTAAAGCTGACTAAATTGCAACGAGAACTTGCTTTATATATCTTCCTTCTGTGTTCCCGTGATTACTTTCACTGGAGTCTGGACATTGTTCAAAATTCTATTAGCAGATCTTTGACAAATTAAATACAAGCAATTGTTTCCTTTTTTTTTTTTGTGGCAAGAGAGAAGGCTGGCTATGTAATTCATCGAACAATTTGTTTATCCCGTAACATAAAAAGAAAGAATTTCAAGTTTTCATGATTATTTAAAATTTACAATAATTAGTTGCTTTTATAGTTTAGAATTTTCAATGGCAAATACTATAGTTTTTATATATATCAAAATTAAGCTAGTCTATTAAAAAAAGGTTTATTTTCTTACTTCCATGTAGGACGTTAGGCGCGATTGTATCTTGGAGACATGTTACACTTGAACAGATCTGGTAAGAGATGCGCTAGGACAAGCAAGAGAAGAGAAACACAGTGGGAGAGAGCGAAAAGTAAGTGCCTTTCTCTTGATATAGGATCTTAAGTTTCTCTCCTTGCTTAGAGAGAAGGAACGAGAGTGTTTCAGACAAACTTGATTGCCTCTCTCCATCTGAGCCCTTCTTCTGTGTCTCTTCCTCTCCTCATTTTATTATTTCTCCGAGCCCGTCCAGTCAGGCAAAACTACTGAGAATCAAGTTACGCTAAACTTTTTTAAGCCGCCGAATGTGTGATCCTAGTGTGGATAATTAATGCGAGACTTGGATCATCTTGCTTTGAACATATAGAGTCATGTGTTAATGATTATTTTATTATTTTCACGATCTTTCTAACGAGAAAATTAATTACATGGACAGGGGTTCTGGGGGATGGGTTCATGGCGAAGAATCTAACAATCCAAAACACGGCAGGACCCGATGCTCACCAAGCAGTAGCCTTCAGATCAGACAGCGACCTCTCAGTCCTGGACAACGTCGAATTCATAGGCAATCAAGATACCCTATATGCGCATTCCCTTCGCCAATTCTACAAATCGTGTCGCATCCAAGGCAACGTGGACATGATCTTCGGTAACGCGGCTTCGATTTTCCAGGAGTGCGCGATCCTGTTGAGTCCAAGGGGGAGCAACTCAAAAACAGGGGAGACCAATGTGGTCACGGCGCACGGGAGATCAGACCCAGCGCAATCGACAGGCTTTGTATTTCATAAATGCGTGGTGACCGGGACCAAGGAGTACATGGCACAGTACCGTAAGAAGCCAGAGGTGCACAAGAACTTCTTGGGGAGGCCATGGAAGGTGTACTCGAGAACGGTGTTCATTCATTCTGTGTTGGAAGCACTCATCTCGGCCGAGGGTTGGATGGCCTGGGACGGTGATCTGGGTCTGGACACACTTTACTATGGGGAGAGTAACAATGCAGGTCCTGGTTCTGACAGGAGTCGGAGAGTGGCCTGGAGCAGCGAAATCCCCCACCAACACGTGTCGTCATTTTCTGTTGACAACTTCATTCAAGGAAGTGATTGGATTCCATCCTATCAGCTAAGTCATCGTTAGGGAGAAACGTAGCCGGTAGGAAGGCTTTCATTATTAAGGAGCGCGACGCATTTTCAATATTGGCACGGATTAGAAATAGAATACCAAACCGGGACTGAGAGCTTTTATGGTGGTAGATGATTTTGCTGGGAAGTCATCGAATGCATCCCGAGTAATGGCTTTTATTGAAGGTCCTCCAATATTTTTAAAAAATACTGTAAGTTTCATTATTTACGTTATGATTGTACGCAGAAGCATGTGTTCACATGTTGCGATCACCAATGCATGTATCTGTAGTGATGCAACGTTGAAGGGGTAGATTACAATACTTGCTATCCAAGAGAAATATGGATATAAGAAAAAACAAGGGATGGAAATATGGGCACCGTCACTTAGTATGATAACGGGTATCGTTGAAGCAGATTAAGTTGATTAGTTTTTGCAGGAGACGGGGTGTCTGCTTCCAAGCAAAATAAATTAAAGGTGTGGCGGTCACAGCAGGTCAATCAATAATAATTGAGCACGGCCACCTTCGCTCCGGGAAGTTACGCATGCCATGTTTATGTGGGATGTCTTGATATGAATGGCCTCTGCCATGGAATATTAATAGTATATAATTAAAGGTGATGAGTGATCTTATACATGAATGAAGTGAAGATGGATGAACGGGAGAAAAGAATTAGCAAGATAGTGTAAGGAATAAGACAAAGGAAGGAATGTGCAATGGATGGTACTTATGTGGAGAGGAAGAGTAGTCATGGATGGAGGGTAGTTGATTAATTAGGGTTTGTATGAGCAGGGCGCCCCAGCACTTGTTGAGACTGGAGAGGTCTTGATGAACACTTCAAATTGTTTTAAAAAAAAACCTACGTCAAGTTAATTAATTAATTCGCACATGCCCCTGTCTCTTAAATGCACCTACAAGAGTGATATCATTAATTAAATTATATTTCGAAGAACCCAAGAAGGCAGAATTGTATGTCAAACATATTAGTTGGATTTCTGGCTGTTACCATCTGTGATTTCACATCGCACTAATAAATCGGCATTGAAATCTAAATCGGTGACAGGGAATGAGAAAAGAAAGCACGTGGGCTCTAGGTTTGAGTGTTTCCCTCCTAGGAGGTTACTTCCAAGTTCCAATACCACTCATGCATTTGAAACGAGAATGGCGAGGACACTATTTATAACTATTTAGGCATTGAGATGACTTAGCTTTTCTTCTTAGCTTTTCTTTTTTCTTTCTCTGCCTTCTTTGATTTTTTTTTTTTTTTACTATCCTCAAAATCTTGTGACCTTTATTCTAGCACCGTGCAGCGGGCGACTCAATATAATAGATTGATATCAAAAGCTCAAAAAGGTTCCTTTTATTTCATATAATGCATGAAGCCCCGCGTACAGATCGTATCATGATTGCAGGTAAAACAGAGCAGGTTAACTTTTATTGCCTAATAGCCAGGCAATACAAATCCAATATTATCACTTGTTCCAAATAGACTAATTGAGGTTCAATTTGGATACTGATCCATTGTGATCCATCGGCGTGTCGCGCACGATAGCAAACATATCTGAGTCACCCTGGCAGAGATTATCTATCCGCTTCTGAGTCACCCTGCATGCATTGCGCAGGATCTCTCTGCAGCTCATCACTACTAATATTTTTATTACTTGGTTTATTGGAAGTCGGCCACGTGTTCTCTGACACCTTGTGGTTGAAGCTTCCATGGTCAATAACACCGTTAGAGTTTTGGCTCCCTCGTTAACTAATTCCCAGGAGGGCAGAAAATGCAACCCGCCAATACCAAGTCTTCAATACCCCACGTTAGCTAATTTATTAACCAGCCCGTTGCAGTTTGACAAGTTAACAGAAATACAACCGGACAAAATACAGGTTGTACTAATCCGTAGCCTGTCGTGAGTTAGCTCACAACTCGCAGGCTGACTCATATTGCTGTGAGGACACAAAATTTTTTATAAATTAATTTCGTATTGCTATATAATGTACATCTCCAGGCAATCCAGCCATGAAAGGCTGGATCACGGAATCTTCCGAGAGGTGATAGCAGGAAGTATCATTTGGAATGAAAAAGTTGTATTTTCACTCAAAACTTAATAGTCCCATTCATTATTTTCTTGCCTTTTCCTCTTGTCAAGTTTTGAAGAGTCAACATCCGAAGTCCTTCACTTGTACCTATAGCAGATAGCAAAAACACACAGGACAAACTCGAGGATCACTTGGGAGAACCAATTATTTTTTCCTTATCTCTGAGAAAGTCCTCTCAATATGAATCGATCATTTTAATGCATAAACATCGAAGGAGGAAATGTCCTTCATCCCATTTTCCTAACAATAGAGAACAAATCATAAAGCAGTAAGAGGCAGTGTGGTGATAGCAGGGGGGGTTGAGGTATAAGATTCATCGTCGGTCCAATTGGTCTCTCCCCAGTGTCGTAACATGTTTTTCCAAGAGCACAGATTATCTATGCATTTCTTCAAGCGTCCATCTTTAACCTTAATTCTCCAATGCCCGTCTGTGTAGTTTGCTGTCTCTGCTTGCCTTCGATCCCACTCCAACTGTGCCTTCTGCTTCGACTTCAGCACGTAAAACTGCTGCAATGCTTCAGGCATTGCATCATGAACCTTCCACCATCTCTGGTGCGCGATATCACTCGCAAACTCGTGAAATATATCAACGTTCCAGTTACAATCGTAGTCACGAAAGCACAGCCATGGCTTCATACCTAAGTACTGAAGCACGTATAGGATTGGAGGCTCTGCACCAAATAGTCTGGTTTTCATTTGCTTCTTCTCTTCCTCATCACCGACCCAGAAATGCTTCAGGAAGTTCATGTGTCTTGGAATTCTGTGCTACCACGTGAATATTTCGTTTAAATATCCTTGGTCACCGCCATCGTAGGACTCGATCTCGTTGATATGATCCATTAGAAATTGGAATGTGCAGTTGGATGGGTCAATGACCATGACGCCTGAGTTGAAGAGTGTGGCATTGTTTCCGGTGGCTGTAATTTGTGGCATTCCAAATAAGAAATCTAGGTTTCTTAGAATAAGCAAGTCTGCATCGATGAATATGATCTTGTCGTAATCTGTGAGCCGCCATAATCTGAACTTGCTGTAGTTCCATTCATTGTAAGCATCTTTTTCAGCTTTTGGGTTTCTGATTCTCTGGATTGTTCTTACTTTCCACCCTGCTGCTTCCAAACCACATCTGTGGTAGCCGCTGATTGTGTCGTCCACAAGGATGACGAGATCTCGAGCTGATCCCGACATGCGAATGCTTTGTGCAGCAGAAATAGCTCCACACACGTAAACATGAGCTGAGTGAAGAATTGTTGCATAGGCTTCTCTGTGGACATTTCCCGTGTAAACCAGCTCTGCTTCCAGTCAGTTTAATTCAGTTCATATCAGTATGATAAAAAAGAGAGAGAAATTCTTAACTCAATTTGACATAAAAAGATAGATAAACTAAACCAATTATAGGGGGACATGTCTATTCACTATTAATTTGGTTACTGGAAAACCTTTCAGTGAAAACATCGTAACAAGAGCTTGATACGATGTAGGATAATCACATTGCAAATATGGTTTTCTCAAAATTTAACATGTCCGTATGAGCATGATAAAGCTTTTTTTTTTTGGCCTGGGGTTCTCCACAAACTGTAGTTTATAACAGCCCCTCTTAATAGGATTTTTGGTTCTTGTGCTGGTATGAATTGAATTTTAGTGGTATCATCATGTGCAATGGGAAAGCAGGTTAAAGAAGTCAATGATTATGAAACAGAGACATTACTGAATGCAGGTTCATGAGTAGTGCTGTGTCCCTTGTCAAAGCCTATTGAAAAGCTATTATATCCACTGAACCATGATGCAATCTGTGTCTCAAGTTAGTGTGGCTTGAATTACCTTTTCCTCTCATCGGAAGTGCAAGTTCACAGGATCCTACAGGGAGCTGGACTTTTTGTCTCAGAACACTTAGATTTGGTCTGTATAACCAAGCATTCCCTTCATGTCCAACAAGTTCTTTGCATGTAAACAGATTTGGAATTGGAAAGCTATTGGTAATGAAAAGGACATGTACAGAGTAATTGCCTTTGAAAGAGGCTGCAAGACCAGCGGCTGCCAGCTGTAGGTGTAACCTAGCAACATCTCTAGACCAGTTCCCTCCATTCCTGAAAGGAAGCTTCACTGCTATAAGATTAAGCCTTGTTCCCGGAGATCGGAGACTTGGTAGAGAAGGGCAAACTGGAACTTCAGTTTCTTCTTCCTCATCAATCCATTCTGGGTAGAGGGACTCCCATGTCACATTTCTTGCAGCATAGTCCAGGTGCAATACATGGTGGGTGGCATCAGGAAATTGCTTCTCCCACTGGTCCAGTTCAGTCTTATTGAAGTTTAGAAGGCCAATCCCTTGAAATTCATCTTTCTTGATCAACTTCCCAGTAATTTTCAATACGTTATCCCAGTCGATTTCTAGATTTGAAATGTACCGAGAATCTGAACTACCCCATATCCACCTGCTCACAAAATTTGCCTGGCATTATGATTATATCTTAGGAAAGCCAGAAGATATAGGACGATGCTGATTCAAATAAAATCTCTTTAGAAAGAAAATTGTTACTGCATCATCTATTCTTGGACCACACTTAACAAATAAGTGAAAGTCAACCATAAAAATAAATGACTTTAATACAATGGGGCCCTGTGAATCATACATGACAGATAAAATGGTACATCTATGTTTGGTACCTGCCACGTAAAATGTTTTCACTAATACAGGCTTTTATAGGGTATAATCATACCGAGAGCTAGAGCTGGATAAGTTGTTGGCATTGTAAAGCTCCGGAGAGTAGATGAGCGTTTCAAAAGTTCCACAAATGATTAGTAACAGGATGAGCTTCAAGAAAGAGAACTTGCATCTTGAGCTCCTGTCTTGTATGTGCAAGTGGAATGGCTTCTCTAGTTCATCTTTGAGTTTACTTCTTCGCAATCTTCGTTTGTACAAGTCTTCACTGCCATGTAGAAATCCAACATCTGATTAGTTTTTATACGAATACCTGTAACGAAACATTGCTGAACAAATAATAAGGCACTGGTGATGCTGAAAGAGGTATACATATTTGCCAAACTTAAAAATGATTGCGAGTTCAGACTGACATAAAAAATGGTTGCTGGTTGGCTTCCTTTGAGTTTAAATAACTAATATTTTTAAGATAAAACGTCTTTGTCAAGTCCTGAAGCTCTGGATAAAAGTGCGAGATCACACAAAAAGTTAACTCTATGAACCTACTTTGTGCTGAGAAGGATAGGACAGCACTAAAAAAATAAAAAAATACTTGAAATCATAGTAGGTGCACGGAACTAAATGAAAATCAGATCTTCTTCCAGTTTCACCCGTTGGTTAAACAGAAAGTTTGCATTATAACCTCGAACTGCAATTATTGATGTAAAATAAAAAGATGGATCCTATAGCCTATAGGGTTAAAAAAATAAACTTTAATGGCCAAGAATTAATGCACAATAGTGCCTATAGTAACATGTTACATTCGCTTCTGATAAGCTTTGGTGAAGTCTCTGCAATAAATCAAGCACGACATTTATGAATGTGGAGATGAGAAGAGAGAGGGAAGAATGTGGAGAGATTACTAACATGGATGCAGTTATTTTCATGGTACTCACAGGAGAGAAAGGGTTAAGCAAAATGTGGAGAGATAAAGGAACTGACATGGAAGCAGAGAAGCGGTGCCTAGCTTCAATGGCATGTGGAGAAGCACCCATTATTGCACCTCTCATATCAACATCTGATCTACACAAAGAGGAACCAACTCTTGTAAATCTGAGGCGTTAAAAACCAAGTAACAACAAAGAATATTGTCCAAAGCAACGGTTCAAAAAACAGTCGACGTTCCAAGTGACCATATCAGATTAGTTTTCAAACTAGGGATATGGAAACTGGAAGTTGATGAAGTAGGGAAGCAAGTATATAATACAGGGATCCAAGTGTTGTAATCCTCAAATGGCCAGAAGCTGGTGAAATTCTAAAAACCAAGTAAAAGTTGGTATTGAAATGTAAACAGAGCAGCAGGAAAATGTGGAGAATCAGACAGGTTTTGGAGCTTTAATGTGTGAAGAAGTGAGAGATGGGAAGGGACTCTTGGCATAGTTGAGGAGTTTGAGTCAATATAGACACATTAACTGAGTAACGTCTTTCAGAATATCTCTTTTTTCTTTCACTTTCATTCTTGCCTCGGCTCACCAACTCTGCTTCGTCTCCTAATTTTCATTCTGTACTCCTTTTCTTTTACGATTCATCATCAATTTGAAGAACCCCGGGTGAAAAGTAAAAACCATCTTACTTTATACTCCTAAGTGACAAATGATTATGTAACCCTAACATAAAATAAGTCACAAGGAAACATGCAATACATCCACTTTTTTGTCGTTTGAATGGCTGTAGCATTATCTAGAGATAATCAGAAATTTTCACCAACAATCAGTTTATCAATAGGATTCTATCGTGTTTACATTTTGTCCTTTTCATCATCCTATGTGGTTAAAGAGAGATGGAGATTAATATATTCCTATCTTTATTTATGGGAAATTTTTACAAACACTTGGTACATTATGTCATTCGTATTCCATCCAATAAAAACATGTAATTTAAATTGCTTTAAATATAAATTGATTCTTATATTGATGATCATTGAAAGAAAAAAATAAGAAATTAAAGAAACAGTCTATTTTAAAAAATAAAGTTTGTTAAAATAATGATATACAAGATTTTATTTAATTAAATTGGTGCAATTTTATTGGATGAAGTGCATATGATGTGATGCATTAGATCCATGAAAAAAATTTATCTTTTATTTATTTGTCCTTTTCCCTTTTTTGTGGATGAGGTAATGGATAACTTAAGATGGATTTTAGAAGTTAATTATGTTAATCTCATAACATTTCACAAAAGTATCCCATATATATCGCACAAAACTTTTATCCTATGGGCTCATTATTTATCAAAGATGTGAAATTTTGTAACATAAAGGGAAAGAGTGAACTTTGAATAAAATAATTAAATTGATATTAAATTCATGGAGATTAGAGTCTGGATATTAGGTTCATCAAAAGTTTTTTTTTTTAAATGATCTTTATTAGTTAGAATAAACTATGAGGCCAACCTATTTTCTCTTTCCATGTAACTTGGCGGGAAATCTTGTAGTTTTTTTTTTAATCTGATTTTTCATATTTAATAGAAGCCTTGAACAAGTAAAATTATTGTCAACGCTTTACTAGTTTAGTATCAGGGCCATTACTCTCTTTATAAAAAATTAACTCAATAAAATATACAATGCATTGTTTATGTGGCCAAGACCTTCTCAAAATTCTTCAGATGTGGGACAGAACATTAGACATCATATTATCAAACTTGGTTACCTGTTTTTGAGTTAGGCACATCTCTCTCATTCTCTTTTCTTAAATTTCATTTCCATAGTAGGCAGGAAGACTCTCATCATTTCAAGGGTTGTAAAGGAAGTTGATCTTCATTTGAAGGAACGCGGCGACCACATCATCAGCACCTAATCAGCTAACAAAGACAATTCTATTCATAAAAAGATTCACTATTTCATTATGCATTCATTCTTATAGCATAAATATTGATTAACCATCTTTCAATTTGAAGATATTAGTTTAAGTGTCATTTTTATCAACTATTTCACCAAACTCCTTTGGTTTATCCCTATCAGCTGATACCGTCAATGCTACAGCAACAAGGTCAATTAATTGGCATTAAAAATACAAGATTTCTAATGAATCTTGCAACAGCTGACCACTTGTACTTTGGCTCTCTTTTCATTGAAGTAAAGAAATATAGTGGGGGAAAAGTATTGAGAAAAGCACATTTCTTTTTTACAAAAGGACAAATGAAAAATGTTTGAAAACCCATTTCATAAGACATGGCTGGTGCTATTCCAATGGTCATTAATTATTACTCATGTATAATGATCATCGAAATCTTTTAACTATGATTAAAAATACAATAATGTTAGACACTTAAACTAGAGATAGAAGAAGCTATATCATAACTGAACAGACTTGCCACGTATCCCTTGTTACTCCATTCCATGCATGAGAATATACCCTATTAATGGACGACAGATCATTAGGAAGTTCTTCCTAGAACATGACACCACGAAAGACTGTCTTGTACTGCAAGCAAAGCAAACTCAACGATAAGGTTCTGATCACAAGACTGAATGAGCCGCCCTGCAACTGGCAACAGTTAGGGGCTTACTGCTCGTGAGTGAGATGAGGTAGATTAGTTTTTAAGGGCTCGGTAAAATCTTTTTATCTGGTGAGTGGGTAGGAGGACCACTTGGTCCACTCCAAAACATATCCATTTGGGAGCAGTAAGAACCAAACTACCAAAACTGAGGAAAAAATGATGGGGCTATGTTGTCCCACAATGAAGCGTGCGCAAGAAAGGATGACTGGACCAAGAAAAGTAGCCTTCCGATGCGAGAGTTGGTTCATTCGGTTGGTCATTCCCTGTTAAATAATGACAGTAAATGAGCTGAGATTTAATGTTTTAACATCAGACAGCCATAATGCTGGTGGCTGATCAAACCAAGAACGGGCAAAGTGCAATTTTTTGGAACAAGAAGCTTTGTTAGATGTTTGTTCAAGCATGATCTTTTGATCACATAAAAACCTTAGTGAGAAATTGCCATTGGAGAGATAAGAAAAAGGTTCCAGATTTTCTTTTCCCTTCTCTTTCACAATTTCATTTAATTCACTTAGCTGAGAACACTTTTCACTGAAAAAAGAAAATAACATGCAGAATCAGCATCGCAACATGAACAGCCATCGCAAGTGAAGTCATTCAGATTTTTGTTCTTTACCAGATGCAAACTACCTGATGAGACGTGACCTAGTCCACGGATCAAGGGTAGCTCTCTGTGGTGGTTGAGGAGTTGCTGGCTTTGACTGCCTATGCTCGATTTGTCGGTCAATGAACCTATCACAGAGTCTATACAAAATTACAAATAGTTCCATAAAAACGATATTTTCATGTCCTCATCCTAAGCAAGCCGTAGCCCGTAAGCATCGATGGTGAAAGTTATTCACTGTCACTGTGACATGATGGGGAAAGACGGCAGGACACACAGACACGAGAGAGAGAGAGAGAGAGAGAGAGAGAATAAAGCTCTGGTTGGCCCGCATATCACAACTAATAGATAGATTTAACTGATTGCCGTCCAGTCTCATCTAGCTTAAAAACTGAACTTCGCGATCCGAGCCGTGCTTTCTTTATATTTTAAACACAAATCAGAAGAAGCTACTCAACGTCGGTTACTAAGCAGGTCCATCGGCCATAATAGTTTAACTCATCATAGAAATTAATTAAATTTGATAAAGTATGAATTACAGAATCTGTTACACGTAGTTTTAGGGAACAATGAGCGTACAAAATAGGGGAAACAGAGGAAAATAAGAACCAAAATAATGGGAGTCTGTTGATGAATTACTCGCTTAGCAATTTTCCGTCATCCTAACTCCTAACCCAAGAGAGATCACCAACAAATAAAAAAGTAGGCTCTCGTAATTTAATATGGGAAATGCGACGTAAAAGTTGGATCTTGCATGAATAATGAACTGGGTCCTCCAATCCAGGCTGCACCATACCATCCGCAAGTCTTCGGACTTCTTTCGGCGACAACTACAGTAAAACTACAAATATCTCAGCGGAGATCGGAGAGGGTCTGGTCAAAAGAAGTAAAAGTACAAATAAATCAGATGGATACATACACGAATAATGAACTAACACTACTTCGAAAAGAACAAAACTCGAGCCAGAGAAAAAAAAAAAACAAAAAACAAATGTATCGTGGACATTCGACGACTATTATCACCTATCAGAGAAGCAGTCAGCCGAGCGAGCCTGCACGAGGGCAAGACCCAATCTAGTCGATTAGGACCATCTTCAATTGCTTGGGCCTGATGTTAGCCCGTTATGTTTTCGGGCTCAACATAATACAGTTTCAGTTTTTGGGGCTACTCGTTGGGCCATATAAACGACGTGGAAATAAGAATTCTCGGAGAGCAGGGTAACAAAGAAATGGAGCAAATGGGGTGGTATTATATTTTCTCAGTGGAAATAATGAAAAAGCACAAGTGGATGGACAGGAGACAGGGGTGACGAGGTTGTCATCTTATCTCTCTGAATTCAGATATGGCATAGACGTAAAACAGGACGAGGAGATGTGCGTAAAATGATAAGGGCGGAGAGGGAAAGTTGGTAGGGGATGGACCATTTTGATAATTGGAGGAGGATATGGCCATGGAAAGTGACATGTCTCCTCCTCACCCATGGTTTCTCGTGCCACTTGTTTTTCCCATTGCCACCAGTTTTCTTTGATCCTATTTCTTTCCCGTTTCCATATTTATTTCTTGCTGTTTTTCCATATCCTCCCCTGGCTTTCTTCACTCCTGTCATTATCTGTCCCTTCACGTCACTTTTGGATAACGTTTAGATTCATAACATTTACGTGCAGCGTTCAGAATTATTAGAAAATAAGAAGACAAGATTGGCAAACTTGTGACTCCAGCCTTCAGTTATCGAAGCGTTTAACAAAAATCATATATTATATTTTGATAGGAACTAGCACTGTGGAATTTGTAAAGAGTAATAATGACATCGGCCAATTGTCCCTTTCGTTTCTTTACTGGGGTTCCTAAAATCTTAAACAGTAAATTGGGATTTCTGGAACAGAAAAGGGACCGGTGAGGCTTTGTCACCACACAGTGGCTAGCATTGCCAGAAGCACCGAAATGCTGAAAATAAGGCCCACCGCATTAAACACGAACCAGCACAGAGGATAATTCTGGAACCAGTTCCAGCATTCTTATTTCCTAGTTCAGTGATCTGCTCAAGGGAATGAATCCCCTCTGAAATTCGTGTCTGATCTCTTTATTTTGCTTCAATGCCAACATAGGAGGACACCAAACACTTGCACCGTTTCTCGATTTTAGGAGATGAATGGAGGACAGAATACAAGGTGCTTGAAGCTATCAATCGAGCTCACTCTTTAAGCAACCTGTTTTCATGCGCCTAGGCTCTTTCAGTTTGTTAAGCGATCCTCTCACTAAATGTCGTGCAAGGAATTAGGGAGAAGGAGTACTTCATAGGTTTTTTCCCTTTTCGAAGCTACTCATTAATGACAAGTTTTAGACTCAAAAGGTGCGAGTGGAACAGATTTTTACTCTACAACTTGATGAAAAAGGCAAAATGCATCACCTAAACCAGATTGATGCCGTGTCACTTCTAACACACAGCTTTAAGGGGAAAGATTTTCAAAAATTGCAACTTCTGGATTACCTCGTTTGTTTATTTAGAGCTCAATAAAAACAGCTAAAGATAGAAGGAGCAATATATATGATAAAGCTTACAATAAATTACGTCATTTTATAAAAATTATAAATATAAATAGTATGGCTCATTCTTCATAGTTTGCGCAGTACATAAAGATATATCTAATTATATCAAATTTCCATCACTAGACTAATGAGCGCAAAGCTCAATTAATAGATGGTTGTGTTAGCTTAATTAATAATCTCAGGTTTGAACTCCAGATATGCTATTGTATTAAAAACTTCATAGAAAAAATTTCTCTTCCTTTTGGCTTGATACCAAAACAAAAAATCCCCTACTGCATATAGGAAAATCCTCACATGATCTTGTGTTTTAAAAAACAAAAACCCAGGAAAAAAAATCAAGGCAAAAATCATGGCTAACTTCTGTTAACGAATGACTACTAAAAATTATCACTTGTCATGATCAGGGCTTGATTTCAATAATGGAGATTACAAACAATATCAAAATTGGACGATCACCAAAATCAGAGCCTCTTCACCTAGCAACAGTTTATGGTCAAGTCAGAGAACTCTCTGGATAACCCAGATCCCCCAGCCAAGTCTCTTTTCCTGGGTTTCACTGTAGGAGGTACCCACTGGCCAATTTCATCTTCGCCTTCTGCTTCTCTAGCATCAACACCTTGTGTGCGAGGCTCTTCATGATGACGCCCACAAAACCATTTGGATTGCATATAAGAAGTGGTTCTCCATGGGGGCACGTGCAGGCCCTTCTCTCTGAAGGACTGTTTAGCAGCAGAACAAAGCAGGGAGATTATCCTGCTCAATTTGTTCTCCGTCCCAACGAAGATCACTGGGAGTGATTCTGTCATTTCTCTGTAATATTGTGTTGGCCTTGCAAGTTCAAATTGGGACCTGAAGTCTATGTCCACTATAAGCCTCACTGGACTTCCATTCTCGCCTTCCGTAATATTCACTTCAACATATTCATATTGACCTGTTACATAATCCAGAAAGAAAGTTAAGAGAAATTTGATCGATCTTTCAGTAATACCAGAGAACCAAGGAATCAAATGAATAGGTTAATTTAAGGAGATGGTGAGAGAGGGAAACCCACCAGCAGGACATCCTAAAGAGGTGGCCCAACATGTGTGGCACAGAGAAGCATCGAGGCCCTCCATTTTCAGCTTCAGGACCAGCCACTTCCTAGGACTAGAAGTTTTCTCAGCATCCCTCCTTCCTCTCATACGCTTCAAGCTCAACACATAGTTCCGAACCTTAGCCTCAGCTCTTGTCTCGCTCCTTAGGATATCCTAAACTCCATTGCAGCGTAACAACAACCAGAAAATTAGGAAGCAGCATATCGGAGACAAGTATACAGTCAAAAACATGGATGAAAACTCAGCAAGAAGCTTCAGAAACTTTGAAGTCCTTGGATTTGTGAAGTACCTGCAAAATATAACATTGGGTTCGATGAGTCAAAGAGCGACACTTTGATGAAGTAGAATTTGCGGGGGATGACGACTCAGATTCTATGAAGTCTTGGACCATTTGAACCAGCTGGTCCTCCTCTAAGCTACCCATGTCTCTGTCCTCCATGGTCAAGCAGAGATCATAGAAAAAGAAAGAATGATATACAGGGGTCTTGAAGGGAGGAATGCGACAGAGAATAGTGGGAGTTCTCGAGAGGAAATTGTGGGAGTGGCGGTGGAAAATTGCGGCTGCTCTCGTTTATAAATCACATTTTAAAAAATTTATTTAATATCATTTATAAATGATGGTGTATTTTTTAAATAATATTTAAAAATATTTTTTAAATTATTTTTTAAAAAATAATATGATATTATTTTTTTAATTTATTGTATAAAAATATATTTAAAATTTATACATTTTTATTTTTTATATTTTTTTATATTAATATTAATAAGATTGATAAAAATAATTTATAAAATAGATGGAAGGAGTATAAGGTGAGTCATGACAAGTGAGGCCATGATAAGGCAAAGCATTCTGATTTCTGATGTGGACTTGGTGAAAGTGTTCTGTAAAACTTTGAATGCAGAAGATGTTGTGAAAGGTACATTGTGTACAATATTATAGGGCCACAAAAAGGGATCACCAACTCTTTAGAAGCTGATGTGTTTCAAATTTAATGTATTGTATCACATAATTAAATGAGTAATGTGGCTGGTTTGTTTAAATTTTTATATTATATTTAGATATAGATTGTTAGTATCTTTTGAATATTAAGTTTATCACCATATAATCTAATAAAAAGATGTTACTCATCAATGAAGTTTACACATAAGTAAAATTTTACGCGATGTATTTAAAGTATTTTTTTCAATTAAATTAGGACAAATATGTTTTACACCCATCCTCTTTTTTCACGTATTCTAAGTGGATAAAAAATATATTGAATATATAAATATAAGCATCTAAGTTTTGCTCTATATATCATGCCATTTCTTATGCTTTAACACTTGATGTAACGTGGAAATATTTAATTAATCATAATCTTAAGAATTATTTTAATGTAAGTTTAATTAAAAAGAACAAACACTTAAAAATTGCCACATAAACATTCTTGAACTAAAAGCACTTCTCTCGTGATGGTTTGAACCCATGCTCTGCGATATTTCACATTTTTCATAGAGTGTGTGGAAATTAATAAGAACCTGAACATTTAAATTGGCTTTACACAGCAAATATATCAGACTTGTTAACATTACATTTGATTTGCCTGAAATCTCAAGTAAATCTTAGTTATTAGGTTATGATTGCAAGGGAGGTCCAAAAGCTAAACACATTCGGTTCACTAAAGAACAGAACATGAGACTCATGAGGTGAAGCTAAAGCGACCCGAAACATTGAAAACAGAGTATGAAAGAAATTAAAAAATTGTTGATGGACGTGAGGATGATTCCTACCCATGAAAAATAAATAACGCAGATCAGCTTTACGACCTTGTGTTTGGCGCATCTGCTGCTTCCTGTCACAAAAATAAATATATAACAATTACCTGAGAATCCCCAGTCGTCTGTTTGAGGTCACAAGTCATAACTGAACTCTACAAGGCTAAGCAATGCTGTCAAAGCAGAATGCAGAACACAGAAGCAAGGCAAGCCGTCTGTTTCGGTCCTTTCCTTGGCTGTAGAAGAAAGCCTCAACAAATTATGGTGGAAGTAACTATGGATGGCATTGATGGACGGAGCCATAATAAAACATAAATATCTCAAAATGTCACCTCAACTCCCTCCACTTGTTGCTCAAGAATTTTGAGGTAGCTACAATGCTCACACCATCATGTTCATGCCACAATCTTCTTCACCCCATCCACTAAACTTTTTTTCTTTTGGTAACAAACGGGGCTAAGCCCACTCAAAACGAAACATTAATGCACAAGATGAGGGTCCTAAACTCCCTCGGCATCTCGGTACAGCAAATAGCCAATCTCCTTGCAAATTGGTCCCTAAACCCAGTTTTGACTTATCACCTGTCTAGATGAATCCATTCAAATTTCCATGATGGTAGAGTCAAATAACTGTCCATTTATTTGTTGAATAGAATCCAATTGTGTGTGTTGGGCTTGTGGACTTCTAAATGGACGGACCCAAATAAAAGTCCAAGAGCACACCACTTTTTGACTCGAGAATTAACTTTGGATAAAGAGATAGCTACCCATTGTTTGGCCTCCTTTACCTTGGGCTTTAAAAACAGTTGCTTCTCAACCTGTCTGAAATTTCCAGCTTGTGACAGCTTCCCAGGGTCTCAAGTTGTTTGTTACGAGCGTCAGAGATTAAAGGATTGTTGATATTTTTATTAAAAGAAAAAAAAAAGATTGTTGATATTTCACTAACCGCTTTCACTAGATCCTCTTGTTGGTCAAGAGATTGTTGCTTTTGTGAGAATATGTTGTTGGAGCAATGGAGTTCAATTCAAATCAATCAAATACCGCAGCCATTAGTTAATCCGTTCATTCAAAGCACGACCCAAAAACTTCAAGTAACTTAAAATCGCTTTACTCGTCACAAATGCAAGTGTTGAGCTTGTTCCAATCTTCTCGACCGCTTTCCGATTTTTGTTATTCTTTCCGCAATTTTGTGTTCTGCACGACAACAAAATTGGTAGATCAAGATTCAAGTCAAAACCCAAGTCAAAATACGAAAGATAACAATTCTTCTTCTTCTTCTTTTCCTGGCAAAAGGGAGACATAACCAGAAAAAGGATTTCATTATTTATATGATATAGTTTTAATATGAAAACTAGAACAACCCCCCCCCCATCGGAGGGTTTGAAAATCTTCTTTCAATGAAGACGAAAACAGAGAATTTGGAAATAAATGTCAAGTCCCATGTTTACGCTCAAGCAATAGTTGTATATTTGTATATGAATTATTATTTTCTTTGGGCTAATATCAGTGTTCCTTAACATAAAATATTAACGTGCAGCATTTAATCTTTCTTAACCTTTTAATAGAACACTGACAAATATTTATTGTTTTCACAGACAACAAACTTTTTCCAGGCCGAAAAGCGAAAATAGAACAGACAACGGCAATAATTTACGTCTCGGTAATCTTCATTTGAAAGGACTGCAAATTTTGAATGTTATTGTGCCGGAAAAACGCATTGGCTATTGCACAATGAATACTTGGCCAATGAAGCATTTACTAGTGCGTAATTAACTCGTCACGCAGAAATAGGTTACAATGGGAATACATATCTTAAGGCTAAAACAAGGTGATATTATATCTTATTACAAAAACAAAAATGGATGCAAAACTTCAAAGTGGGAAAAGTCTTTGCAAGGGCGTGTATCTCAGTCAACAAACTCTCGGAAAAGTCAATAAATGGGCTTTAATGACTATAAATTTCGTTGGTGGAAAAAATTCATAAAACATGATACCTAACCTATTAGATTCCTCTCTGATCTCCAACATTCATCATGAATCCGCCGGGGTTTCCCGCCGGCGAAGGTGCGCCTCCCCCGTCCAGAAGAGAGCTCCAACTCCAAGGCCCTCGTCCCTCCCCGCTCAGCGTCAGCAAAGAATCTCACAAGATCCGAAAGCCGCCGCTTCCGCCGCACCCCCACCATCCGGCGGCGGGGCCTTCCCGGCAGCAGCAACCGCAGCCGGTGATCATCTATTCTGTATCTCCTAAGGTCATTCACGTTCCCGTCGACGACTTCATGAAGGTCGTGCAACGTCTCACCGGCCCGTCATCCCCTTCCTCCAGATCCGGAGATGTTTCACCGGCAGCAAGGCTGGCGTCGATTGAGAAGACGAGCCCGTCTGAGAAAGAAAGGTTTCAGAATGGAGATGAAATGATGGATCTCTTGGAAGGTGTGGAAGTGAGCCAGTTCCACGGCATATTATCGCCGACACCGGGAACTTTGCCGGGGATATCGTCGGATATGTTCTCACCGGCAGCTGATCCAGAAACGCTCTCGTGGTTGCACGATTTGAGCCCGTTCTGGTCAGCGAATAGCTTCCTGGGAAGCCCATCGGGTTTATTTTCGACGTCCATAGCTTCTCCGCTTCCGTCACCAGACGTCTTCAGTATCTTTGACTGAGTTGTCCTCCTTTTTTTTGTCCTCCTTTTTTTTTCAAAGTAAATTTTTGGGGTAAATAAGCTTGGTTGTTGGAAATTTGGAATTGCATGAAAGGCAGCAAAGAAGCTGCCAGAGGATCTAACATTCGCCGACTTTTGTCAGAGCCGGGTTCTTTGGTCCACAGTTATCACGGTTATTATTAGTTATTACTGACTCCTGAGTTTGTGGATTCTATTGAATTATTGATCTCTCCCTATGTAATTTTGTAATTTGCGATTCATATGATGATGATGATATTTCAGTTTTAATTTCCCCGGATTGCCTTTTTTTTTTCCCTTTTTACTTTTCCATGACTCCTAAACTATTACATTTGATGATGAATGATATTTTTGTTTCAGGGGTTTAAAGCAGGAAGATGAGCATCGCTCCATTAGCACGTTGAATACATATTTATTGTTTGCACCAAAAATCTAAAAGGGAGTTTGGTGATAATAGTGCTAATGTTTTTCTTAAGAAACATAAAGTCATTAAATAAATATATAGAAGGGGGGAGAAATTGGCATGAGAGTCAACACAAATAGATAGTGGTGGCGTTTGATAATAATCAGAAAAGTGGTGTTGGAATTCGAGGAAGCCATTGTAGTGCTTCTAGGTAGCAACCGGGGTCGATTCAAGAATCAAGACAAAATGGAGATTAGAATTCTAGAGTCAAAGTAAAAGCCGAGGCCACAGAAGCAGCAAAGGAAAGTTCAACACCTGCCAGGGTGGCATGGTCCTGGCTATGTGAGACAAGTCATTTGAAAGAGTGGTTGTTTCTTTTTTTTCTCTGTTTTTTTTTTTTCCTGCCAGAAGAGAGGAGTGGTGGTTTCAGAGAAGACTTCCGCGGCCCCGGCAAAGCAAAGTTGAATATAGCATTTAAAAGTAAGCAAGGTAACGCTGCTTTTGTTGGAGGTTTTCATTCTTCTGCATCTGACTTTCTTTCAAGATCGTTATTGGCAACATGGATCTTGAGGAGGCTCGTTCAATCCTTTCCTACCGTCTTATTTTTATTTCCCACCCGGCAAGGTTTGGTAGTACAACGTTAATTTGAGAGCCAGAATGTCAATTCATGAACGAAGGGCATGGTTAATGATGTCTTTCTTACTAAAATTGGTAATAAATAATTGAAAGGCATGCATGTGCATGCGAGGGAAGTTGCAACCTCTTCTTGTAAAGGATTCTACTGTTCACTCTATCACTAGAAAAGAGAGAACGTGTGCGTGTGTGTCTTGCGGTGGGGCATCTTTTGTTCCAGCATATGTCATTCTCATTCGGCATAACGCTCACTTCACTCTAACCTGATACAGATTCATTTCCCAATGTGTGATCAGCTAGTTGCACACCCAGTATCTTCACTTGATCCTTTTTGCCTGAAAACGCCCCACAGATAATACTTTCCACGCATTCCTGCAATGCAAAACAACACCACGCTCACATTGATATTAATCTTACCCAGCAACAATATAAATACTTGAGTGTTATCTTATCAATCTGCATTTAGTCAGCCTACGCCAAGTTTCTACAGGTAATACGCGGGAAGAAAATATGAGGAGCTCCACGTTGTGTGTGATGATTGCCCTGAGAGAAAGATTTTGCTCGATCATATCCCTCATCACCCCATCAAAAACCTTCTCGTCACTGATCAGGAAAAACACTCATCTCAGGAATTTTAAACAGTTGGTGGGAATCAAGCACTAGAGCGGAAAGCAACGAGAAAACGCACCTTTCACATTGTGGAAATATATAAAGACCAATGCTATCGTTACTAGGAGGCGACCTCCGAAAACTCGGCGGCCATATGTCAAACCTTGAAAACAACTTGACGTCAACGACTGGGGGCAGACCACTCACAGTAGAATGCACTTTTGAGCAGGCTATGACTGATACATGCGCGCCCACGCCCAGGACAATCGCCTTGTTGATTCTCAATTGCCCCCTGTCAACAGTGAACAAAACTCAGCATGGTTTTCCCCCCTAATGATGCGCAAGACTTACCCTTAGACAGAAATTTAATCAATCTTGAGTATAGAGAGTATTAAAAATGATTTTCACTAAAAGTATTTTGCTTCAATCACAAATCAAAGAGCTTGATAAAGGAGAAACGCAAGTATATTTTTTGTGCTTAATTTGCAGTTCATACTAAAAAAGTAGCGTGTTTTAGAATTTTTATCTGACAAAATATAATAAAGGGAAACCTCTACAGAGGAGAACTCTAGTGTGGCCCTTGACAAAGACACGATTTAAAAAAAAAAAAAAAAAACTGGCTGTCCTTGTTTTAAATTCTTATAATTCAGCTCCTAAATCATTTCAATACCCACAAAATTATCGTTCCATTCAATCTCCGTCCATAATTTAACATCAAAACTGCCACTATTAACTCGAATATTATAATACATGCTCATTTGGCACTTTTAACTTCTAAGTGGAAACAATCCCCTCCGGTCAGCAATATACTTGGTTCTGCATTAAATTTTGGACGGAGTTAAGATAGAACGAAAACACTATGCAAGCTTCTAAATATTTAACATACCAATTTAACACGCGTGTGTATTCAGAACCAGCAATTTTTTTTTTTGGCCTACAAATGAAAACCAAATTACATTTTTTTTTTTCAGACAAAAAACTTCCTTTCAGAAATTCCAAGCGATTATCATCAGGCTGATAAGTGAAAAAACATAGAGATTTCCAAATACTTTCACTTTCTGGTTGACTTTCAAAATAGACCCCACGCTCCAGATCGGACTTGATTATGGCCTAGAGTTGAAGAAAGCCCAACCACAGATCAGAAGAAGACACTGAACTAGAGCTTAACAACCCATGCCACAACCCAGTCACGATATCGGATTTGGACACAAAAATTAAACTGAAGTCTTCCCATTACCCTTTCGTTGAGAACAATTCCAAAGTTTGGGTACCAAAATAAATCCCCAAGTTTGAGTCCAACGAGACCGCAATTAGACTTCGCCCTAACTCCTACCCAAACATGGTCTTAAACGACTCCGTAAGAGCGCTGTAAAGCAGACAAGCAACACTACTGTCTCAACAAAAGACACAGACTACAGATTAGATTCAAACATGTGCAAGTGCAAACTCCTCCGCAACGACTAATTTTCAAAACAAGGGATTGCAGAGTGATGAAAAATTAAGACCAGTTAAATTCCCTGAAATTCCATCCAAACAACATTAATACAATCGCCGAATTAGTAAATACAGAACAGAAGTATACCTCCAAGCTGGAGAAGGTACTGGTTCGGCCTGGCTATATTTGCTACATTCAGGATAAGGTCCGTCAATAGATCCACTGTTCACAGTTTTAGTGTCCGCATATTTCTCAGGGTCCGATTTCGGCTGGTGCGACGGAATATTTGAAGGACTCGTAGGTGTTTCACACTCCTCATACAAGAACTTCTCGTCTTTAATGTCCAAGTGTCTTCTCTTCTTAATAGGCAATTCTTGATTCTCATCGGAAGATTCTGCCTTACACGACTGGCCCACACAGGCTTCTTCATGGCTCTCCCTATCGCTTTTCACCCCGTTATGTTTAGTTTCAGTGGCTTGACTTATGCGTGCACTTCTCCTCAATGGCGTCGATCTACATTTGGCATCATTTAGAGAGCATTCCTCACATTTCCAGCTGATTGTTCCGTCGTCGTCTTTATGGAACTTCCCTATACAATAACTACGCATATATACATATAGATGCATAAAAAACCAGGCATGTTTCGCAAATAATAAGATTACAGACCCAAAAAAACGGGCGCACCATTCTTGCGACACAGTATACCTGTGATTAGCAGAAACTTGACACTGTACACAGTATATGAGCCGCTTCAAATCTCCTTTATCACCACATGTTTGACAGATGTCTGTCTGAAAATATTATGAAGAGAATTACACCAACACTTTGTAATACCATGGCATGTGATGAAGAACTAATTTGGAATATTCATGACAACGGTAATAGTGTGCATGTTGTGTAGAAACTTGGATGCATTCTAGTGACTATTCAGTCAGTAAAAGTAGAAAGGGTAAATTAAACCCAAAAAAAATGTCAGGGGTAAAAGGAAATATAAAAGCCATGGCCTTATAAAGCATTGTTCTTTACATGCTTAAGGAGGAGAAAATTAATTAGTGAGTCCTAAAACAGCGTCAATAATAAAAAAATTGAATAAGTAGTCAAAAAAGGTGTGTATTTCAGTATATTATCGGTCAACGTTTACACATTTAATTTTTTATTCGATATATCTCAACAGTAAATCATGGTCTATGATCAGAAAGATAACTTTATCTTCTGTTGTTAGGCCCAACTTCATCTTCTTTTAAATTGATTGTATAAGATTTTTTTTTCAAAAAATTATTTTTTTCCAAATGAATAATCTTTTAATTTAATAGTTTAAAAAAGATCTGACAACCTGAACTATGATAAGATGATTAGATACTGATAACTAACATGATAACGAATCAGACTGTTGTTGTGATCTGCAGATGCAGAGTACAGTGTGAATCCAACAAAGGCAATCACGCGTTAAAAAAAAGAAGAAAGAAAAGAAAAGGAAAGAAAAGAAAGGGCATGGAGATGGGTTGGCTCAAAGGCGCTTCCAGTGAGGAGTATTAGAATCTTTCTCATGGTACGCTTCTCGGGGTAGCGTTAAGTCCCCAAAAACAAATAGCCCTTTTTTGTTTGAAAAAAACCTAAATCGATGGTTAAGAAATCTCACGTTCCCTTTGCCGTATTACTACATCCATTCAAATTGGTCATAGCTAAGCAAACTGGATTGTGCATTGTTCCAACTTTAAAATCTGATTCCGAGGATCATGTAGAAGAAGGAATGGAATAGGGTTCCGTCCACCGTCCCGAGAGAAAACGACGGGATGGGGAAAACAGGGGGAATGGAAAAGTAAAAGCAAGGGAGCAGTAGCGACAAAGAAAAGGGGGAGGATGTACCTTTCCAGAATGGCGTTGAAGGAAGAAGGGCTGACTTGGACTTGAAGAATTGCAATTGCGAGGAATCATCATGAGAGTGATAAACAGCATTATTATGATACACCAAACAAACAAGATCCTCCGTCCCCCGCTCTCCCTCCAAACACTTCGCCTTTTTGGCACCCCAACCCCAACACCCCTCCCTGCAGGATCTTGTTAAAGCGGCCCCTACTCTTTTGTGGGACTTCTCTTGTACGGCCCACCAACCATCCGCCACGTCCCCACATAACACTACGAATCCAATATTTATTGGGAAATTTTCACTCCATGACCCTACACCAAACTTATTTAAAATCCACTTCATAAAATTTTAAAATATCAGTTCAACTGCTCTGGATGTCATTTAGGCTGAATTAAAATTGAAATTTTGAGAAAAATAATATGAATAACCCTAATTTCTTTGATCAATAACGAACAACTCATGTGAAAAATATGAACAAGAAAAATGAATGATTGAGGTAGGAGCAATTTACAACTCTTATTAATATTATAAATATAAACAAATAAAATTAAAAAAATAAATAATTTGTGTAAAAAAATGAACAAGTAATGTAAAAAAATTTATAATTTTTATTAATAATATAATATTATTATAAATAAAAATAAGTGAAGCGAAGAATTTTGTGCAGAGAAAATAAACAATTAACCAAGGAAAAAATAAACAATTGCTGTGTTTTGCACAAAAACAAAGATTTTTTTTTCCCCATATAGCCTGCGCCCTATCTGGCCTGAAACAGAAGTCCACGTCCTAGAAAAATCTATTCCTATTTCCTATCATATATCTGATTAAATCTCGGCAAAATTGTAATCATATTTGATTAAATACTCTTGCTTGCTTTGTTTATTTTTTTTTATGGAAATATTTTCCGACCTATCATTGTTTTTATTGAAGAAGTAAAAAATCGGAAAAAAAATAATAAATGGTTATTAAGATTATAAACAATGAAATAGATAAGATTTAAAAAACAAATCTAAAAGTTTAATTTAAATATATATATATATATATATTGAAATGGAGGGCTGTTATACCATCTATTCATTCACTTTGGTCATTAATAAAATATAACGCTCAAAACTAAAGTAACGGGCAAATGCAAATCAAGTTCTTTCAAATGGTCCAAAAAAACCATTTCATGAATCGATGAACCGAAAAAGTTTAATTTAAATATATATATATATATATATATTGAAATAGAGTAGGCATCATTATAGATAAGGAGTGGAAGAAAAACGTTGTAGAAGTTAGCAGAATTGGAGATAGAATTATTTCCTTAAAAATTATAATTGGACGTGAGACTGTTAATATTGTTAGCGCTTATGTGTCGCAAGTCGGGATAGAAGCCAGTCTTAAAGAATTATTTTGAGAGGATCTGGAGGGATTGATTCGACACATACCACAGAGTGAAAAATTTTTTATTGGAGGAAACTTTAATGGGCATGTCGGAAGGGAAGCTGGTCAATATGCGAGGGTGCATGGTGGTTTTGGTTTTGGAGAGCTAAACAATGAAGGACAAACTCTTCTTGATTTCTCATTGGCGTATGATTTTAAAATTCCCAACACTTGTTTCAAGAAGAGAGATGAGCATTTCATCACTTACAAAAGTGGAGCCTCAAGGTCACAGATTGATTTTCTTTTGGTTAGGAACACAGATAGAAGACTTTGTAAAAATTATAAGGTGATCCCCAGAGATGCTGTAACGACACAACATAAGGTCTTAATCCTTGATGCGTGTATTATGGGTAAAATCCAAAAACGTCGACAAGTAGTAGCACCAATGATTAGGTGGTGGCAATTAAAAGGTGAGAAGCAAGATATTTTCAAGCGAAATCTTTTGGATAAAGGAATTTGAGAATCTCAGGGAAGTGCTAATATCACGTGGGAGGATATGGCTAAAAAGATACGGGAGGTTGCAAAAGTAGTTTTGGGAGAATCAAAAGGTTCTGATCCGAGAGATAAGGAGTCTTGGTGGTGGAATAATAGTGTACAGGATAAAATTAAGTATAAGAAGAACTGTTTTAAAGCCATACATTTGTGTAACAATGAGGAAAATTAGGAGAGGTACCGTATGGCTGAGAAGGAAACTAAGAGAGCTATGGGTGAAGCTCGTTCTAAAGCTTTTGAAGAATTTTATAAGAGCCTTGAGACAAAGGAAGGAGAGCGAAATATTTATAAGATTGCCAAGAGTAGGAAAAGAAAATCAAGAGATCTAGAACAGGTAAGGTGTATTAAGGATGAAGAGGGAAGAACTTTAGTTACAGATGATGAAATTAAAAATAGATGGGAGACTTGCTTTTTTAAACTTTTCAATAATGGAGAGGATTCATCTAGTAACTTGGAGGATTTAGTAACTGATGAAGGAGAACAAAATTTGTCATTCTATCGAATCATACGCGATAAGGAGGTAAAGGAAGCTCTTAAGAAAATGGCAAATGGTAGAGCCAACGAACCTGATTGTATATCTATCGAAGCATGGAAATGTTTAGGTGAAGAAGGGGTGAAATGGTTAACTAAGTTATTCAATATGATTTTACGGTCCAAGAAAATGCCTGATGAGTGGCGGAGAAGTACATTAATTCTTAGTTATAAAAATAAAAGAGATATTCAAAATTGTACTAACTATAGAGGGATTAAACTCATGAGCCACACAATGAAATTGTGGGAGAAAGTAATTGAGCACAGGTTGAGATTGGAGACAAGTATTTCTGAGAATCAATTTGGTTTTATGCCAGGTAGATCAACTACAGAGACGATTTATCCACTAAGGGGATTAATGGAAAAGTATTGTTGTAAAGATAAAGATCTACATATGGTTTTTATTGATTTGAAAAAAGCTTATGACCGTATACCAAGAGAAGTGCTTTGGAAAGCGTTGGAAAAAAAGGGAGTACGGATTGCTTATATTAAAGCCATACAAGATATGTATGAGGGGGTAAAAACTAGTATAAGAACGCCTAGTGGTCAAACAAAGGATTTTCCTATAAAGATTGGACTATATCAGGGATCATCTCTGAGTCCTTATTTGTTCAACTTGATCTTAAATGTTTTGACGGAACATATTCAAGGGGAAATTCCAAAATGTATGCTCTTCGCGGATGATATAGTTCTTATAGCAGAGACAAGAGAAGAGGTTAATTGCAAACTTGAGTTATGGAGGAGGACATTGGAGTCGAAAGGTTTTCGCCTAAGTAGAAGTAAGATGGAATATTTATATTATAAATTTGGTAAAGGACTATTCGACAATAATTTGGAAGTGAAATTGGGAGATCAAATTATACCTCAAGTGAAAAAGTTTAGATATTTGGGAGCCGTTATTCAAAATGATGGCGAAATCAGTGGAGATATTTCACATAGAATTCAAGCTGGGTGGTTTAATTGGAGAAAAGCTAAAGGAGTTATTTGTGACCGTAAGGTGCCTAATAAACTTAAAGGAAAGTTTTATCGCATTACTATCAGACCGGCAATATTATATAGTAGTGAATGCTGGGCTCTAATGGAACAGTAAGAGCATAAAGTTAGAGTAGCAGAGATGAGAATGTTACGATGGATGTGCGAACATACACATAAAGATAAAATTCAAAATGAGCACGTACGCGAAAAAGTGAGGGTGGCATCTATTGAGAAAAATATGGTAGAAAATCGATTGAGATGGTTTGAGCATGTACAAAGAAGACCAAGGGAGGCACCAGTGAGAAAAGTGGAACATATAACTTTGAGTCCGATTAAGAGAGGTAGAGGAAGGCCTAAGAGAACACTTTTGAAAGTTGTTGAACGCGATTTCTTAATTAATAATATTCCTAAAAGCTTGATAAATGATAGAGCACAATGACATCTTGCAATCCATGTAGCCGACCCCCTAGTGGGATAAAGGCTTGTTGTTGTTATTGTTGTTTGGAATTCAGTCCCTCAACTATGATTCGCTGCAACTCGGTCCCTCAACTATGACTCACTGCAACTCAATTTCTCAACTATCACTCATTGCAACTCAGTCCCTCAACTTTTGATTTACCTATAACTTGGTCTTAATTTTTTTAAAAAAATTATCAAATAAGAGGGATAAAAAAATATTCATATATTATTTTAAAATACTCTCTTCTTATTCATTAATGTGAGATATAAGCTAATATAAAAAGAAAAATTAACAAAGGTTAAGGAACTAACTAGTAAGTGATTTAAAAATTGAGGAACTGAGTCATAGGCGAGTTATAGTTAAGGGATTGAGTTACAAGTGATTTAAAAATTGAAGGATTAAAAGATTAATTTTTTTAAACAAAAACAAAATCAAACTTCCATGCTCATGGCCTGACAATCCCCTGAGTTGACCTAATGCCCAATTATGCTGAAATGGACCTAATATTTTTCTTTCAGCAAAAATTTAAAATTGTTAAGAATTAATCATCTAAATAGAAATGATATATATTATAACAAATCATCTTCACTTCACTTGCCCGAACTTATCATAAACATTCACTCATAATTCACCGCCTCTAGAGAGAGGTGAGGGAGCGCATTCACTCAAATGCTTATTTCTTCTTATTATTATTTTTTGAATTTCTTTTTTTCTTTTTGGGTGTCTTTTTGAATTTTTACTCTTATCGCTTTAACTCAATTATATCTATACCATTACAAATTCGTATACAGCAGGGATTTTAAAACTCCGCCAAGCAAATCAAAATTGCACTTCTGGAATATGTACTCATGTGTAAGGTAAAGGATTATCCACAAAAAAAGGTTGAAGAATCTTGTGGCCGGAATACTACACCTTCAGAGCCACATTGGATCAATTGGAACCATGAATTGCAAATGTACAAAGTCATCTAGTGCCTAATAGTTTTACAAGAAACCTAAAAACTAATCAAGGATAACTGGCAGAATCAGAGAACAGAACCTTAAATTTGTGGGATTTGCTTGAGCACCAAGAAAGCCATGACGGTGTTCTAAAGCCTGACAGGCAATCCAAAGTTATGGAATGTCTTGATAGTTCCATCTAAACCAGCTACCACAAAAGAGAGGCCCCATGTTTCTGAATGCCAAGCATCTTTTGGGCACAGTTCCGTGGGATCATATTCATCTTCTGCAAATGGTAAATTCCAACTCGGAAGTTTCTCCTCCGGCCACGTCACTGCACCCTGGCATGTCCCTTCCATGGTGAACCAATTACCAAGAGAAAAACGCTTTGAATCTCTAACGCTGGGACGAGCCTCTTGGAGATGTCGCATTTCTGAATTACCAACCGAGCTTGTTTGTTCTGTGCTATTTACTGACCAGGGTAGTGCCACAGTAACACCTTCAGTGGAAAAGTACTCACAGCAACGCTCAGATTTTGGGGGTCTGGATGTTGGATTTAACAAGTCATTGCAGTTCCATATGTACACGTGGGAGTCCTCTCCGACAGAAATGATATGATTTTCACTTGATGTAAACGAGCCAGATATCTGGCTTCCTGACTTCACAATGCCTGAAAAAAATTATAAAAAAAAAGAAGAAGAAGGGCGATTGGCTTATTAGAGATTTGCCATGATATTGCTGAAGCATCGCGAGCATCCAAAGTTATCCCAGTATGCTCTTGTCAATCAGGCACCCTACCTCTAAATTTCTGGACAAGTTCAAAGCCATCCAGTACACGAATTTTAGAATCTTCTGATGTGATCATGATTCTCTGGTGTTTTTTCTGTGAAAACTGCTAAAAAAAAAAAGCGGGTATTAAAATATTAATTAATGAAGGATTGGAGCACAAAATTAGGAAACAATTTCAATATTAATACCTGAATACCAGTAATCTTGTTCCCAGCTGATCTTTTTTTCCCATGAACCCATATCTCTGCCTCAAGCTGGAAATGTTTGCCTAAACCATTTGAAATTCAATTTAGACACTTATTTATTTTCCTTTCATGAGGAGATTCATTCATGTTAAAATTAATCAACAAGTACGAACCTGAAGCAGCATAAAAACGACAAGCGCCTGAGATGGATCCAACTACAAACCCCTGGGTATAGTAGAGAGACAAAGGTTGATCAGTCTCGTGTACACAGGTTTGGATTCCCAACGCAATAACAAGTGAAAAGCTTAAAAGAAATCAGAAAAGATTGAGCATTCAGAGTCATAATACCTTCCCATCTGGCTGGTAACTTATAGCTGTAATCACATCTCGTACATCTGCCCAATCAACAACTCGCTCTTCACACAACCCCCATATTCGGACTTTGCCATCTATAGACCCACTGATAAAATAGTTTTTATCAACCGGGTTGACTTGAATACAAGTCACTGTTCCATTTATAGCAGAGACACAGTTACAATTCCATTTATGAGTGGAACCCATAATTACATTTAGATTATATCAAAAATATAGGCCGGTGCAAATTTATGGGCTAACTCATGAGAAATGCCAACAGTGAAGATGGAAAGTTTTGGTTCTTATATACTTACCATAATCATTGTGACGGAAGACACCCAGGCATTGATCACAACCAATTTGCCACAAACGAACCGTTTTGTCCATCGAAGATGACAGAAGAATCTGCAACCAAGTATTTTAGATCAGCTCTCTTAAGATCGAGAATTGCATACATCATGCATAGAAGAGGAAGAAGTGTAACGAATTCTTTATGTCGAACTCACATTTGAATCAAACCAAGCCAAATCTAAGACATCACTGGCATGACCAAAGAACTCTTGCAGTGGTGATTCCTCTATTTGAAGAACCTTGTTTGGAAGGGCCAGGAAGGATATATTTGGCTGTTTCCTCCGAGAACAAGAGATTTCTTGTTTCCCTTTGTTAGTGGGAGTAGTGTCTTTTGCATTAAAGAAAATGCAGGATGTATCCATTGACATAACACGCCACACGCGTACTACCCCATCTTCACCTCCACTGGCTAGATAATGGCCATTGGGACTAAACTTCATATTCCATATTACGCCTTCATGAGCTCTAATCTCTTGTCCCAAGTACAAGGCACTCAATTCCATCCACCTCTTTTTGTTCTGCTTTACTTTTATTCTGCGAGTCTTTCTGGTCTCTCTATGCAATTTTGATCGCACTTTTCCCCCTATTGTTTTCCTGCTCTCCGCAAAGAGCTTCCACCACCCCTTCATTTTCTTTTTACTCATATCAAAGGGACCGTATTGATATTCTTCTGGTGCCTCAGCTTCTCCGGGTCTGTGCTCTTCACCTGAAGATGACTCACACACATTCCTTTCAAAGTTTACGTCTCCGTTTTGTTCATCAAACAAGAAGTTGGCTTCGGAGGAGGAACTGAAGGCACTTGATACAGCGCCTTCGCTCTCCATTATTCTTTCGAGTTCCAAGGCGTTGTTATTCTCTTGAGAGCAAATGCTTGAAGAAAATTTAGCAAAACCCATTTCCTGGAGAAAACGTTGCCGTCTTTCCGTCACACTCCGAGGCTCATTCACCCAGACTTCATACCCGAAGAACCTGTTACGGCCCAACTCTTCCCCTAAAACAGAGTGTTGAGGTGGCAGAAAATCTGCTGAGTCGAAGAATATATCAATATCTGCTTCATCGGAGTTAAGCATATCTTGTCTTCAGAGACCAGGGCTCCTGTTCCACATAAAATTATCAATTCCGACACTTTTTCCCCAACTATCAATCAACAGATTATAATCTCTTAAATACCAGAAACCATCACCCAATTCTTGTCCGAAAGTTTCTCGCTGATTATGCGAAAACTAGACCAATATAAAAATGTTACAAAAGCAGGGGGCTGAGCACGAGGAACCAACGAGTAGCTCAACAAGACAACCAATAATAAGCGTTTTCCGCATGTTCTAAACCTCAAGAAGGAAGGATCCCAATAATAAAGATATATATATATATATATATATTAATTTACTATTTCTCAAACCTCGATAGACCATTGAATTGAATAATCAAATAGTAAAAACACTGGCTAACCTTTTGGGTTGGAGGGCTTCAACGCCTAGCGATAACAAAATCAAACATCATCACCGACCCTCCCTTTTTAGCGGCTATTGCAATAAGTCAGGGGTCAAATTCACAGCAAATATTAAAACAAACCGGTAAGTCTTCAAATGCTCTGTATCGAACCCAAAACAGTTAAATGAGTGCCACGAGTAGGAACAGTGAGAAACTGGCGGAGGAAGGAAAGGTGAAGACGAAGGAGGATGTGTCGCTCAGAAATCAAACCATTGTTCAGGTAACATATATGTCGGCCAGAGGACAGCTCTAGAGTTTGTCTCGAGATCCGTATTTTGGGATTGAAGATTGTGAAGCGCACGAGCGACAAACACGAGCGGCGCGGCCCGGGAAACAAGACGCTATGCTGCTGTTTCTGCCTCTGCAACCACCCTACGGTTTTAGCTTTTCATGTTCTGTAATCTCCCACCTATATCAGTACACGAACGTGAGACAACTAATCAGGAGGGATTCGGTGCGAGGCTAGTTAATTAATTATTTCATTATTACTATATGCTCGTACTATCATTTCGATTCAGCGAATCAAATCTGCTTTACATCAAATTCAGAGACGAGATAGTGTAAAAAGAATACACAAAATATCTTGATTATAAAAACAGGACATCCATCGCCAATGCTATGAATTAAAAGCGGCATTAATGATGATGATTTGAAAACCACACGGGTCTCGGAGATTTGTCTAAAAAGCGTCGATAGACTTGGCATCACTGGTGAAAACGGAAGGAGAGAATGAGATGAAAACCAGAGAGGGGGGGAAAAAAGCAAGGTCATCGCAGCACGAGTAGACACGATTACAGCTAACAAAGAAGGTAGAGCGAGAGACGTAAGTAGATGGGTAGAGAGCAGAGCATGATACCCTTCGTGCTAGCGAAAGCGATGACTCGAAACTCTAAAAGGCCTATGAGTGGCAGGTGTCCACTCTGAACAACACATAGGGTCTCTTATTACAGCAATACACCAACTAACTCTTGCTCTGCATTCAGTCCAGATTTAATTTGGTTGGGTTTCGCGCTTCAGTGTATGTCTGGTTGGGGGCTTCTTCTATGAGTAAACTACCTCGGTCATGTATTTCCTCTTCAGAATGTAAAAAAAAATGAGTGATAATTTTCTGGCTTTTCGGCTAGTGGTTGGCATTTAATCCGAGAGAGAAATGAAAGGAGAAAAACAGAACGTCTTGTTGTAGGAGGGCCTGGAGAGTCATGAATTGCAAATACCTCAGCTTCCCATTTTAATGACACGGAAAGGGCCTTTCTCTCTTACCACTTTCTATCACCCAGAGCTATCAGATTCTTCTCTAAAAGCAGGTATCAAGTTTCCCCTTTCTGCAAAAGATGTTTCAGAAAAAAGGAAATTTCTTTAAATCGAGGTTTGTCCTTTTAGGTGGATTTTTTTAGCAACAAGCTGCGAGTAGAAACTCAGGTGGTGGAACTGAAACTACAGAGGCCCCATCGTCCGCCAATTAACCCTTACGAGAGAAGTCCCTCTTCTTCACAGATCCCTGCCATTATCAAACCCTTCTGTGAGTGGGCTTGTTGCTGAGTGACAGAGAAAAAAGAACCTCAGGACGGGGACGACCGTCGACCAGCTCGTACGGCGAGTCTCTGTCACTGGAACAACCCTATTACAAACGTCTCCATCTTTTCGTAACTTGAAAAAGTACGCGTTAAGTTAAAAATTATCTGAGAAACAGAGATAAAGAAGATGTAAAACTTGACCGGTGAATTTTATTCAAGTTGTAGTAATTACGTTGGTGTTACGTGATTTTCAAGATCTGATTAGAAGGATTGGGATAATACAAATGTGAACAAAAGAGAGATTGCAGTTCAGAAGTTGACATGGAAGAGAGTGGATATCATTATCCGCGGGAGTGGTCTGTGGAAGAAAGCTTCCAAATCACTCCGACAGTGGCACCATTTAGAGCCGTCGATTTGATGTCTGGAATCGGCGGGACTTGGAATCTTGGATGCTTTCTCGTTTATGTTATGTGCAGACGCCAAAATAACAAAATCAAATTTCTGAGGAGAATTTTGGTCAAAAAAAAAAATCTGAGGAGAATATTTGTAAGGTGGCGCGCAGTACAGCTTCAATAGACCATTTTTAAACACGTCGCCGTGACATAAATACATATACAAAAATAATAAATGAGAAGATTCTCTGTGATTGCCCGCGTCCCTTTTAATTTTAGTGATATATGCTAGTTCATAGTTGATTAGTTCCCCAGATACCATATCCCCAGTTTATTGCAAATCACACGAGCACAATTTGTAATGGTTATGTCAGAACTTTTCATCCTAAAATAGAACATATTGCATCTAAGCACCCAGCATCCTTGCATTAATTTTAAAAGTCTAAAACGTGATTTAAAAAAAAAAAATAGACCAGATCCCGTGCACTGTTTGGGTTTGAGGTCATATAAATGTAAAAAAAAAATTAATATGATTAGACTAAAAATTAGAAAAAAAAAATTTGCAATGAGAGAGGTGATTATGATTAATTTTAAAGTATCATTATTTAAGCTAAAAAGTATTAGGACAAATTAATTTTAATTTTAATTGCATAATATGATAATTGAAGAGGACATATATTTTTTTTACTCTGGTCCATGTCTTAAAAAAATATATCAAATAGTTGTAATCATTTTTTTTTTTAATAATGGAAGACAAAGGGTAGGCAATAACTCAACTAAATAAGTACATACAAGAATTAGAATTTGAACCACTAACTACTTATTTAAGTTATGAAAGTTTAGTTGGTATCAATTAGTTATAACATATACTTGATTAGTTGGATAATGAAAGTTAGTCATGTAAAATGTATCAATTCTTTTTTTTAAAAAAATCATGTTTGAACTCTTCATTGTGATTTTCAGAAAAGTTATCAAAACACTCTCATTCAAAAATAAATAAATAAATAAATAAAGTCCGAGTCCTTAAACCAGGTTATATGTGAAGCAACTTTACTTTGATTAAATTAATAGTGCCTAATATCATGGTTATAAATCAAATTTATGCAAACACCGCGAAATCTTCCAGTAGAAAAAGCGAAGCGCAAATACATTTAAATTTTCTTGGATTTTGATTCTAATTTGTCTTCAGAAATAATTATAATTTTTAAGCCCACTCACAAAATCTCTTAGATAATTTTATTGTTTATTTATGGTATAAATTATGCAGTAAAGAACTGGAGATATTCTTCAATCAGAGGATTATTTGGAGGAAAGAAACAGGCAAAGCAAGGACCAAATTTTATAAAATAAAAAAGAACACCAACACGCTGGATTTAACTGAACAAGGCTACGTTAACGTTGTGTGAGAGCAATGGGTGAGAATTGAATGGCAAAGCAAGAATCAATGATATGATGTGAAACTGTACATATTTCCAAATAATTAGGGGTTTGGTTTGGTTTAACTAAATTGATTTTCTTACTTTGTTTTGGGTCGCACTCACTTTCTCATTCTGCTTCCTCGACAATTCCTCATAAGCCACAGGAAAGAGATGAGAACGAAAATATTATATTGTCATGCCAAAATAATTTAACTTTCTGGAGATTTCATTTTCGTCTCTGCCCTAAAAGAGGGAGAGACATGTTAGTAACAGACACAGCAAACATCGTTGTACAACGACTGCCCAACTGTATCCTATTTTTAAAAACAATGACTTCCACTGATTTCAACACCTTAGCCTTAGCCTTTATTTACTAGTGAATAAAGTGAGCAAAACAGAAATCAGTGAGTGTTATCGCACGTTATTGATTCAGAATAAAATATAAGACTTGAGGGCTAACCTTTAACACGAGCAGCCTTCGAGTCCAAGAAAATAAGTAACACCGGAATTCATAGCACCATTTCGAGGCGTTCTCGTTCGTTGTATAGGGGAGAGAACCAACTCGCGTCAAGAAATAAAAATTTATGAAAATTTTGTTGATGTAACTCATGTCATCAAACCAAACAAAACAAACAATTTCATATTTATTATATTTTATATTATAATTAATTTATTATATTTTTTAATAATATATTGTTATTTATCAATGATAAATATCTTATCAATTTTTAATGACAAATATTTATATATTACTAATAAATTTTTTTATATTAATATAAATTGGCGTCTAATCATACACTCAATTTTTTAAAAATTTAATCTATATTTTTTGAGTACAATATTTTTTTGACCAATGAATTAATTTATCCAAAATCTATATGGAGAGTAACAACAATTAATATTATGCGGTGTATAATTTGTAAATTTGGGCTAAATTTGTGGAGTTCACTGTGAGTGATAGGATTGCCACGGCATTTTGCAGGCATTGGTGCATTCAACTACTGTAGTCATTATAGTACAAGTTGATAAGAGATTTAGCAACTTAACATTGACACGGTTTGAGTTCAACAAAAAGAACTAATTCTTCACAAGATAATGAATCATGGTTTGAATCAGTTAGAATAAGTGCTTATATTTAATATCCTGATTATTCTTGGAATAGTATTACCTCTAACAAGAGGGTACTTATTAAAAAAAAAAAACTCAATTCTTGGATTTTTTTTGACAAAATTATTAGCCAAAGAAAAAGAAAAGGGATTAGAAACTGTAATAATGGTCGGTTTTGCATTCATCTGCTTCTAGTCGTCAAAATTTTAACATTTTGACCTTCATAAAACTTGTGTAAATTGGCTTCCTCATGTGGTACTTGACTAAATATACAGCCTACGACGATCATTCCTTCGTTCTAGGTGTTTTGGCTCTTGCTAGTGCTATACCGTCTTCTTCTTCCTCCCCCCCCCCCCCCCACCCTCTCTCTCTGGTCATCTTGCTGTCGCGTCTCCAATGGACACAGAACAATCCCAAAAAAAAATTGATGTAATAGTTATGTGCAGCATTAATTTAAAAGTATATCTTATAATAAATAGAAAATTAAATTTCTTTGCAACATTTCAATTGTAATTTTAGAATCCTCGGTGAGTTCCATTTTATCATATTCCTTAAATAGTTTTTTTACCTTATATTCCTTAAATAGATTTGACCAAATGATTTATGGTTTAATAATTTTCAAAACTATCGTATATTAAAAATATTCTATGATTATATTAGTCTTCTCCAGAAATAATTAAATTAATTTACATGAAGACCAATCAAGTAAAGATTAATAAAAGATCTATGCTCTCCATTCAAAAATATAAAATATTTTTAATTAAATTTCACCCTATAATAAAAGTAGGTAACTACTTTTAAATTAACCTTATCTTTTTATATTTATCTTTATTAAACACCCTACAATAAATATAAAGTTATTAGGGGTACTTTTAAAAAAAAGATAATGATTACACCTTAAAAAATTAAAAATACTTTATATTTTTTAATAGAGAGAATATTATTTAGCAGGGCTGGATGTTAGAGGGGTATAAAAGGGTGATCCCTCCCACTGATACAAATTTTGTAGGAAAAATGACAGTTGGGTCTTAAAATAGTAAATTAATATTAGTTAAGTCTTAAAAAAAATTTGAAAAGTAAGTTAAAAATATTGATTTAAATTAATATAAATTCAGGAGTTTTAATTACATATAAGTATTTAAACAATGTAACTTTTAAATTGTAATAAAAATTTCTGTTTGTAACTTTTTAAATTAATATTTATAATTTATTTTGTAAAAGAAAAATTTGGGGACTTAACTAGCATTAATTCACTGTCTTGGGACCAAACTATCATTCTCCCAATTTTTAAATGAATTTTCTTTATTTTTACTTGAAAAAATGAAAAAAAAATCGACCCTTTATTTCCAAGAATTTTTTCACTTTAGGCCAAAAATTATAACATTTATAAGAAATGAAATTTCAGTTTATTTTCCGCAAACACATGGATCATATTTCAAAAGCAAAAGTCAATATAGTACCAGCGATATAGGTGGAAGGAATGGAAAGGATCCGATTTTTCTTAAGGAAGTTAAGATCGAGTTTAAAATTAAAAATAACCGACAGTAATGAATTCAGATAAATTGTATCAAAAACAAAAGTTTATAAGCTTTGGATCCGATGGATAATATATGTAATGATAAAGGTGCACCAAACATTATTGTAAATAATTAATCGCTGGATTCACCAACGGATATTGCGTGTGGCCATATACTCATATACGTAGCCAACCTAATTGCTGAAGATCCAGATCTCGATTATTATGTATATTGGAGAGCTTCCGTGGCACATGCAATATTGTTTCTCGTTTGGCGCTCATTCCACAGATAGGCCGCGTGCATGGCCCACAAAACTAGCATCCTTCTGAACTCGTAACAACAAGCTGTAGGCCACGATTATCCCCCCGGGATTTGCTGGATATATATAGTTACTGTGAATGAAAAAGAATCGCGAAGATAATTGTACGTGATGCCAGGTGTTCTGATGTATTTGTACCCAAAAAAAAAGAAAGAAAGAAAGAAAGAAAGAATGGGAAACTATAATAAGTTAAGGAAGCTATATGTTCATCCACATGGGTGCTCGGAGAATAGCATAGAAGAGAAGAGAGTGCCAAAAGAAAACACCCAAGTCTGCGGATGCTTCTTCACAGAGTGATTAAAAATGAGATACTGGTCAACAAGAGGGGGAAAGCAGGATTTTGAGACGGTGGTGGGGATGAAGGTGATGTTAATCAGAAGGTAGAGAAATACACGTCTTTTCAAGGGGGTTTTACAAGCTTGCCTTTAATGGAGCCAGTTATATGTGAGAATTGAACATTTGAAGACATTGTTGATGGTTCTATGTGGGAGCCACGGAAGAGGGTGATACTGTTTGCAGAGACTTGGAAAGTTTAGAGAGGGAAGGTGAGATATGCATGAGGCTACTCATATGAATAGAGGACTGGAAGCAGTCTCCTGATAAGAAGGAACAATGTCAGAGGGGAGCAAGCCGCACCGTAGTAGGGTGTTAGATAGAGAGCGTGGCAAAAGATGGTCCCTCCGTCTTTTCTCATGGAAAAATCTATGTACCTGTATACATATTAAGTCTGTCTGCACCACAAGTCTTTAATTTAACGCCTTCTTAATATCAGGTGGTGCTGCTGTTCTTGTCAATCACTCATGGCTCGCTTTCTTTCTTGCCTTTTTTTCACTGGGTCCAACCAGGGACTGTTCTACGTTTACGTGAGAAAGTGTATTCAAAGCATTTGTTTTGAATAGTACGTTTACTCAATAAGAATAAAGCTATTGAAATAGTTTTGTTCATAGAACTGCTTACGGATTGTCCATCAATAACGTCCTTGTATCAGTAGTGAAACTTGAATCCATGACCTTGTGAGTCATGGATCAAATTTTTATTAATTAGATTAACTTTTGTTAACAGCTGGGAACTGAAATTAAGGTACATACAGAACCGACGCACTGATTTACCCAGCGAGTAACGAAGGCAAACCTGATATCATAAAAAAGACCGGAGTGTTAAATAAGCAGAAAAGGCCATGTCTACCCAATTTGATGCTCAGCCCATGATCCTTGGGCTAATGGGCTGAGCGGAATAATTTTGACCCTTAAAGCCTATAGCAAATAAAAATGGGTTATGGACCAGGCCCAGCCCCAAATAATGTGAGGTCTTTTTTTGTTAAAAAGAAAATCTCCCATTATCCGGTGCAAACTAAATGCATGGTTTTATTAGATGGATATTAGAGTAAAACACGCCAAAGAATGAGGGAAATATGAAGGATTTCTACAGGTATTTCTTTTTTTTTTCTTGGGAAAGCTATTAGATGACGTTCAAAATAAGCATTATGGAGTTGTATTAGAGTGAAAATATTATAGAATAAGCGGAAGCGTTTGTATGAAAAAGGGGAATCATGTTCGGAAAGATGGAATATTAAAAGGGAACGTAATTAATTTGAAGGAAGGGTAGGAGTTGAAGAGAAGTAAAGCAAGTTTGAAAATAATGAAAGGTTTTGGTGGTGATGAGCTGAGGAGATATGCATGAACGATATTTGACGGGGAAGGGGTTGGAGTAGTGGGAATGCAAATAATGAGGAAGAGGGAGCCAAATAATAGTGGATGCGGTTACACACTTACGCTCACATGTCATATCCATCCACTCACTCATTCACGTACGTTCATTCACATAATCCCTCTTTCATATAAATCCACTATCAAGCCCCCTGCTTTAATAATCGTCACCCAAATTCTTGCACGCACGCACGCATCTCCTGCCCCACACGCCACATAATTCACTACCAACGACGCCTGCATTATTGTGTTTTCTAATAATAACAACCCATCCCCGCCCATCAATTCCAATTGTTTATATACAGTTCCTCTAATATTTTGTTTATTTGTTTTTTTTTTCAGTATACTATACACTTTATTTTATACTAGTGCTTGTCATGAACCAAAATGCTGGGTAGGTTTTCATACAGGTACAAGGTTGGGGGCGCACGTAGATGCACACGAGCATTTGGATTTTTGGGACCAGTGAGAATGGTTTGAGAGAAATGCCAACCGGAGTGAGGACAAGCTCCCAAATGTACAATGATGAAGGTGCAGCAGCCAGCATGCGGGCTTCACTTTTGTGGCTGACCACCCAATCAATCGGCCTTTATCCCCTAATTCCGCGGCCTCTTCTTCAATTCATGGATCCACCATCAAATCAAGGCATTCCTGTATGGTGATTGGTCGAGGAACCTTTCCCTATCTCCTGCTGTGGACAGCCTGTCCTTCTCGTAATGCCCATAGTCCCATACTCCTCCCTGCCCACCTAAAATCCATTCCCTCCATCACATCACCTTTCCGTTTTTGTTTTTTTTTTTCCCGCTCGCTACGGACTCGCTAATATTCATCCTATTGGATATTAGATTAATATTTTCAATTATTACGCCTGTCAAGTACACTAAACAGAATGCAACAAAAAAACACCAAATAATTTAAGTATAAAATGTTTTCATGCATGCCCTTAAATAAAATAACGATAAAAAATATTATTACAAATAAGTGATAATTATAGCAGTATTAATCAAACCACACGAGTGAGAAGCAGCACGCCTAATTCCCTGATAATGGAGAAGGAATTACCCAAAAAAAAAAAAAAAAGATTGTAGAGCCATGTAAAGAGATGTCTTCACCTCTTGTATGATTATTATACAGTGGCACGTCTTAGAAGAAGCTCCGCCCCAAAAGCTCCAGAGGCTACCTCCACTTCATGAATCTTGGATGCCAGATGAAAGCTTGCCTCTCCCGTCTGTCTTTTTTCACGCATCACGTACTCTAAAACTTGTTACTCCCATCTAACTGATATTATCTGGATGTGCTGCTTCATCCCTACGTGTTAAAAGGATTGCTGACCGCGTCTCGTTTGATTCATGGGACAGTAAGATAGAAAATCAAACCAATAATCTTTGTTTCTTGAATATCTACAAACCTCGAGAAAACCATGTGTGTGTGTGTGTGTGTGTGTATATATGAAAGAATATTTAGGTGAGGTGAGTTTTAATAATTCGCTAAAATCATAGTATGCCTTCAAGCGCCACAAAAACTTGTAGAGTACCTACTACTAACAAGATTTTTACATTAATAGCGGGACAAATTTATGAGTTAAAAGCCAAACTCTTACCAATTAAATTAACTTTTTGTTACATTACCAATTTCTATCATGAGTATGCTCATAAGAAAAAAGTTACTTACGTTTTGAATTCATTTTTTTTATTCATTCAATCGCTAATGTATGAACACAAAAAATATTCATGTTATTAGTTTTTTCTTTAACATCAACGTCACTCTGTATTTTGATAGAAGACAATTTATGAAAAGAGAATAGACCAAACAAGATCTATCTTATTAGAAATCGATGCTCTAGTTGATCAAAAGACAGTCAACTGCTCGTGTTCCGCGGACGTCTCGGATGGGATGATGATCATGGAAACTGAATAGGAGACTTTGTTGGATGCTCTTGAAGATTTCGGCAGGCTTGGAACTCTTATTTAGACAAGGGATGCAATAAAACCAAGACTACAGTGATTTCATAGAGACTTAATCATAGTTAGAGGACCTTATAAATGATTAAAGATTTAATTTTACGTGACTTGGTGGTTACCTTCAATCATAATTTAGAGGAGCAAACAAGTGTATTCAAACGGGCATTATATATACATTAATTAGGATTCTTAACACCTATGTGATTTTAGTTGGGAGGGTAATTTGGTTTTTGACAGCTCTTGATTTTGTTTGTGGAAGACGACTTGTATACGTGGGCTCGCATCCTCATAAAAAGAGAATAGAGATAACGGGAGGGGTAATGATGGATTGGGACGTGTGCGGCTTCTGAAAGTAGAAGGCCGGATGAATGGGTGGAGCTGGAGCAAGAAAACCAGTGAGAATTTATCCAACAACGTCAATCTCAAAAACAATGAGCTGTCATTTTTTCAAATCGGGTTCAATCTGATAGCGATCATCTCCGTCATCCGATTCATATATTTGTTGCCCTTGTACTACTCCGCCTGTATTGTTTGGGGGCCAGCCAAAACGTGATAGATCCGTACCCTATTATTATGCAAATGAAACGTACTGAAAACACTGTACGGAGTGTATTTTCTTAAGAAAATTAACATGTAAAATCTTCATACATTTTATAAAACACGCAAAGCTGCGAGAATTAAACGTGCGGCTGAAAACAAAACAGATCAAGAACTTTAAGAAGTTAAAACAGGAGCCGAAGCTTGTAATAAATGGGTTCCTCCTGGCAACGTGAATTCTGTTATCTCGCACCCTCGCCCACACGCAGCTTGCAAATCTCTTTGACCACTTGTTACCTATTATTACCAACCGCACAAACTTGCTCTTTCAATTAATGCCGCAATAAAATGGGGCAAAATTATATATCCCCGCTTGAAATATCCATCATGCTTGGCGCCCGAAATACCTAACATTTTCATTTTTTTTTATTGCTCACCTTGCTACCAAATTAAATTCCACCGATGCACCGAAATATGATTTATACTAACAAGTGCCGCATTGAATGGCCACTTTCCACCCATAGATTATGAATCATCTAATTTAACTAAGATCTTAAATAAAAATGGAAGGGAGAGCACATGCTTGCCACCGGGATTGGATTGGATTGGTCAGACGTAGAATGCATCTGCTCCCGTACGTTTTTTCCCCATTGGGTTGCCCGCCCCATTTCCTACCTTTCCCGCAAGCACAGAAATTTAAGTCCCGATCCCAACCACATAAGCTCATCGTTCAATAATTTTTGTCTTATTAAGCTTCAGTTCAACCTATTCCCTTGGGCATCAATTGCCTAAAAAGAAAAAAAAAAAAAACACCATAAATTCTTTATCAGTCTCCTCTAACGCATTTCCAAATTAATCTTGCGCGATCAAACAGCCCTTGAGTTAACGGCATGAACACGGTCCAAGCTGAATGTTCACTACTTTGTGGATCATATCAAATCAGAACGATCTGTTTTTCAGGGGATTCAGAGCTGTGACTCCATAGAAGTTGTCCCACTTCTAAGTCAAAAATTTCATGGCTTTTGGTCCAAAGGAAAGAATCTTTCTATTCAACTTTCCGCTGTGATGTGATATAGGAACAACACGTGCATTTACGGAGCAGAACAGGGTTAAAAAGTAGGCGGAAAAAGAAAAATCTAATCTGGGAACACACAGGACAGCAACCTAAAAATGAATTTCGCTTTTCAGTTTTGACTATTCACTAACAAAATTTCGTTTCATTTACAACCTTTGTTCTTTTTTCCTTTTTAGTGTGTTTCTGGATGAGAGGAGAGTATTGATCAAAAGGGCATGATATGGGTGGTCTTGGTGTGGTAGCAGGAGAGACATGATTTGGAGTTAACCCGGAAAATCTTGAGCAAATCGGCGCACATTTGACGAACTCCTGGCGAACAATTGCTCTGCATCAGAAGCAGAATCTTGGTCAAACCGTGAGCCTTCGTCACCGCTTCCTGCGCCTTCTGATCACGAAATACATAACACACGCTCCAGAGTATAGTCACTGCGTGCTCCGTCGCCGCATTCGACACTTTCAGGACCTTCTGCAGTATCGACGCCACGCAAGTCGGGTCCTCACAAATCTGCGATCTTCCTTCCCTGGTCGACGACACCGTTTCGAGCAGCGTCAGTACATTCTCGGTGATGGCAACGCTCCACTTCGACTCCGAAAGCAATTCCGATAATGTCTTCACAACTCCGAGATGGATCAATCTCGCCTTGTTTCGTTTCGGCGTTGAGATTGCCACCAAGCAGGACAAGCCGTTCTCGATTAGCATCGCATCTCCGTCTGATGATATCATTTTAAACAATCCACGAATCAGGCCTTCCTTTTCAGCGATCAAGATTTTTGATTCAACATCCGCAGCGGCGAATTTCAAAACCTTAGCCGATGCGATTCTCGAATCAGAGCTGCCTCGTTGCAGAACAAGAAGTAGAGAAGCTATACAATTGCCTTGCTGGTTCTTCACAATCGAATGTTTCACTGTCTCGTCATCTTGGGCTTTACTGAGGACGAAGTCCAGAGCCTTGACAACTTTTTCAAGAAATTCAACGCTCCGAGGGATTCCACCATCAACATTGTCGAGGAAACCAACGAGCAAAGGCACCAACCCCTCTATTTTGGCCAGGAACTCCCGATTGTTTTCGGATTCTTCAGCAAAGGATAGAATTCCAGCAAGGGAGCACAAAGGGTTCCCGCTCTTGGCCTTCAAATCTGTGACAGCGTCAAGGACTTGGTCCCGGGACGGGACCGATTTGGCAGCAGGGGAGCCGGCGGATTCGACCCGGGTTCGAACGGAGTCAGTCCAGATCTGGATAAGCCTTTGCAGAGTAAGGTTGGGGACAAATTCCTTGGATTGGAGGACCTGCATGGTGGCGGGGCAGGTGGTGTTGCCGTCGTCGAGCCAGCGTTGGATACTGGAACGATCGTAGGTTACTCCGGTGCAGAGGCTGACTGGGGATTTCATGACGTCGAGAGAGATAGGGCACCGGAAGAAGCTGGGAATTGTGATGCATAGATCATCTCTCAGCATAGTGATGGCCGTTCGGACTCAGAGAAATTGGGAGAGAATCTGGCGAAACAGGAGAAGACGGGGAGGCAGGGGATGCAGCGGGGGAGACAAGGAAAAGAAGCGTGGGGGGGAGTTTAGACTTTAAAAGGGGGGAGTCAAAGGTACGGTGACGTCATACCCGCACTTTTCTTCTTATTCCGATTAGTTCATGGTTAATTTATAGTTAATAACTTAATATATCTTATATGTGTATGAGGTTCATGCATTCTGGATTTCTGATTGGGTCGGGTTTCTTAGCTTTCAAGATGTTTAAAATTTGTGTAAATAAATCTGGTAATAAGTATTCCTCATTTTTTTATAAATCATTTTTATTAATTTTATTAATATTAATAAAAAATAAAAATGTATAAAATTTTGATTATATCTCTATATAATAAATTTAAAAAATGATATTATATTTTTTTCTTTCATAAAAAAAATTTTGTAAATATTTTTAAATATTATTTAAAAAATTATACCATAATTTATAGATGAGATCAAATAAATTTTATAAAATAAATTTTATAAATAAAATTGGATGGAGTATATATTTAAAAATAAAGATAAAATAGTAATCAAAATTTTGAAAAATCAAACTTATTATTTTTCTGTCGGCAACGGGATGGCTCAAATTTTGATATTGACTGGATCGTAATAAAAGGATGATATAATTTATTTATTTTTTTCTGCGATGGGAAGAATTTGTTAAGATAATATTATAAACTTGTTAGAAAAATGGAAATGGAAATGGAGGAAGGGGTTGGCGTGTATTGATTGTTTTTTTTTTTTTTTGGGTGGTTTTTGGGTGGGTGTTAAAATGAAAAGAAAAGTGGAAGATAAGTAAAGAACGGAAAAGAGGGAAGGGGAGAAATAGAGGAGTGGGGGCACACGTGGATGAGAGGATAGAAAGAAGAGGGTATGATGGGAGAGGATGAAAACGTGGGGATGGTGGGGATGGGGACCCAAAGGCAACAATGTCTTGGCAGTGTCCCCACCCCCGCCTCCCCACTTCCATCTCCCCTCCCTCCCTTTACTGATCAGTCGCACGTACCCTATTTCCTTCTGCTTCGTCGTACCTGATCCCCCCACTTTCCTTCCTTCTTACATCTTTGTCTCTTTTCTACCCCTTGTGACTCTCTCTCTCTCTCTCTCTCTCTTGTTTTTTTGAAAAAGGTTCGGTTCATTTTTCAATTGAGCTCCATGTAACTTGTAAGTAGTATTATTTAAATATATTTTATATTAACATTATGGATAGCACATCACCAAATTATTGTTAGTCTATCTCTTGCTCTTTTAAAAACTGCAAAAAAGTGAAAAAAAATGAATAAATTGTCGTAGAAAAAAAATAGTACAAAAAAACAATGAATTGGAAGTTTCCTTGAGCGATGGAGCTAGTATTTTTACAATAATAGCGTGTTATACGTAAACAAAGATATAATAATTCGAGATTTTACCCAAAAAAGAGGAAGTAATGAATAGAGAGAAACTGGAAAGGGGGGGGGGAGCGGATCCCATGATAGCACCGAAAGCAACGCTGAGCAAAAGAAGAAAAAAAAAACAGAGAGAGAAAAAAAAGGGGGGGGGATCCCAATCCCATGATGAAAGTAAAAAGTGAAAACTGGTTTGACGCAGCGTGTGGGTGTGATCAATGATCTAATGAAGTTTTACTGGAGAATGGGGGAGGGCCCCAAATGAGACACCCCGGTTTTGCGCAACAAAACGGGGAGATAGCATGTGTGCCTTTGGGCTACTTTTCAATGCAGGAGTACTGTATAGAGTACTATTAAACACCCTAAACGAAGTAAACTAGACTAATATCAAAACACGAAGTATCATTATTCCCATAGGATGCTCCAAACTCGAAGTTAATCCTTAAAAAAAAAAAAAAAAAAAAACAATAGCATAGGAGAAGGCAGGAAGCAAAGGAAGTGATCAGTATCAAATAAGGAGAAGAGAAGGAATCTGGGAGGAGGGGAAAGAGACGGAAAGGGACGCGGGTGGGGAGATGAGAGATGGTACACCGACCAACAGTGACGGTAAGACCGAAAATTTGACCACTCTTACTTCATCCCATTCACATCACCCTCATCTATTTTCACATTATTCAAACCCCCAACGAATCACCTATTCCTCCCCTTTTATATTCCTTCCTCCCTACACCAAAAAAAAAAAAGGAAGGCTTGTTTTAATGCTCTCTTTAAATTATACGAATAATTTCCTTCCAATTTAAGCAACTCGGCTAACCCCCTCATATTTAATATCGTTTAGATATATTTTCAAGCGAGATATTTGTCTCTTCAACTAGCGGCATCTCTTTTTGGGACACTCCTCCTTTTTGTGATTTCTTTTAAGTCCTCATTTGTAAGTTTTAAATATTTGTTGTAAATTTTTTAGATCATTTTTTTCCTTTTTTGATTAATTAATTATTAAATTAATTTTTATTAACAACAATAATTAAATTGTACTTATTTTAAAAGTTATAAAAAATATCACATAAAATATGAGGTTAGGATTTTAAATATTTTTAAACTTATAATTTAAGTTTAGGAGTTAATCTACACACTTTTTTTTTGTAAAAAAAAAAAAAGCTGATGGGCGAAAAGTTTTCGTTTTCAATGCAAAACAATCAAGTGACAGAGGGATGGAATTTCAATGTAATGAAGCTGCGGCGTCGCAGGCCGGAAGAATCAGAATGTCAAATAAGTAAAACAAAGGAGCGGGACAAGTTGTGGAGGGGAAACACGACTTTTGACTCCGCCAATTAATCAACAGGGCACCTCAGAGAAAAGGCGATGTTGCGTCTATAGACTGCATAGTCTCCACCCCTCAATTAAAAAATGGTGGCGCATCCAATCCAATACTCGCCCAATTCTTCGAATTTTTGGTCATCATGTTCTCTTCTGTACACATGTTAGTCAACTTCCCAGATATTTAAAGTGAACACAAAAACTACAGGCTCATAGTCAATTGGCCTTTTTTCAACAACGCACCTCATCCGGGCACCAGCCACAAAATTAAAGATTATTAACGTTGAAGCCGAGGCATGTCGCGGAGGGTGGTTGTGACGTTAGGCCCACCGGGTCAACTTATTAGATATATCGCCCTAGTGGTCCTTCACTTGCTCTCGACTTTTCCTTCTCCCATCTTTCCTTTCTACTTTTCATTGACGCCGTTGGTCTACTTTAACGCAAAGTTACGATTCTTTAAAATAAAAAACACCAAAACTCAATTCAGAATAAACATTTTGAGGAAGGCAAACAGAGCTCCGGGCCCCGGATGCCAAATACACGATTCAAATCAAACCGTGCAAGAAGAATTTTTTAAAATAAAGAGAGAAACACTTCCCAAGATGTCTCAACTAATTTGACTAGGAGGAGCTAACAAACTTTTAATCAATTTTCACTAATCAGGGACCAAATCTGCTAAAATAATGTACGAAACATCATCGTCGACCGACTGATGTAACCTGCACTATGTTGTCCATTCGTTGCATACTCGATCTCCATGCCACTTCAGACATGCATGATTTCACTATTCCACTAATTAATATCTTTCTCCCTGGTCTCATTCTGTAATTAATTACCAGAAAGGAACCACCGCCACGGCGCCATCCCTATATCAAAACCTTGCACCGATTATGATTTGGGACCGGGGATAGTTTAGATTCTTTTTGTAGTGCTGTTGTTTGGTTGTGCGTGTCTCGTATTTTCGCACGTACTTCAGTCGGATTGAATAAACGTACTCGATCGATGTTATCATGGAATTGCCAACAAATTAGAGCAGTGATTATTTGTGCACGTACGTGTTGCTGTTTTTACACGGTATCAAACGTGTATCCCTAAAAGCAAAATTAATTGAGAATAATAATTAACGAGGTCACGCTGAAGGTGCCAACTTTTCATATTTCACGAGTGAACACAATATCCACTGCGATTGGTGGCAACTACATTATAATTGAAGGGACCATTAATTTAGGACCCACTCGAGCACGACGGCCAGGGCATGCAATTATCTGGGGTCAACCGCACGTTCCCTTGATTTTGTTCGAGTCACCGAATTGGCAAGAAACAGAAAATCCTACCCCGACGCACCTTGATTATATATATATATATATATATATTAATGTATATCACACTGAAACTGGCGCCGTGTTTTAAGTTTTTTCACTATATTATTTTAATCTTTGTCGGTTTAATTAGACTATATTCAATGAGAATTTTACTTTTTAAAAAGTCATCCAAAGTTCCCTTCAAGTCATTCGAAATAAAACATTGGATATAATTTAACCCGGTTTTTTAAGATAAGTAAACCGATTGGTTCTTGGATCAAATCTGAAAGAGTCAATGATGGTAGGCATTCTCGAGTCTGAGGAAATTACGCACAAGAAAGTGAAATATCAACCAAGCATGTGCCCTGTACTCGTCTATCCATAGGCGTTGGACCTCTCTACGAATTGAATTCATATACGCACCCAAACACCAAGGACATTGTCTCCCCAAAAATCTAAACAACGATGCTTCTCAGTTACAAATATTTGGTGGAGTTTTGAGTTTGACCCTCTTGGGTTCGACTATAGGCAGATCAGTCCAAGTTCCGCAGCACACAAACCCAACCAAAAGCTGAATCCACGGTAAACCACGAAAAGGTTTACCCATCATTTCATCCGCTCGCTACCACAGGTTTCTTCACACTGAATCGTATCACTTTCTTGATAATCTCACCCCCTCTGGCACGGCTCCTTTGTCATGTTGGGTGGACGAGCCTTCCAGAAGATGTACCATTTCATGAATCATTAGGCCTAAGCAGCACAAGATAAGCATGTGAAGGCAACAGCTTGTGATATTTGTTAGGTGGCTCCTCGACGTATATAGTGGGGTCCTTTCTTCGCCTACCGTCAAATCTATTGAACCCTCTTTAACTACAGATCTTTTTTTAATTCATTGATGCATCGTCCATACTCGCTTTGTATGTTCACTTGCAGCTTTCAACTTTGAAGTAGGACCGCCAGAGCTCCGTGTTTCATCGCTTTGGTACTATGATTGTTGGATTGGATATATCTAATAGTCAATTCATTAAATCT